CTTCACAACACAGATGCAGTCCGTTTAGTCCACCAGAAGTCAACGAAGCCTCCATCCTCGATAACGACGACGGACCCCGAAATGTTGCCGACAAAAATAGCGTTGTGTCTCGCGATCGACATAACCGCATAATAGCACAAACGTCATCATGCGTGAGCAAGCTGCACATAACCAAATAGGCCTAACGCGATAAATCGCGGCGTGTCGCGTGCGACGAGACGACGCGGCGTGCGCCGCCTCGCGCTCGTCTACACCGGCGGGACAAAGGCCGCGCCGCCGTCGCTCGGCCGTGTAGACAAGGGCGTCGGCAAAAAACGGTGAGAAATGGACCAGTCGGGGCCATTTGCCCGATGCGGGCCGTTTTTCGCGGGTCCAACTCTAAATGGCCATCGAACGTCGTCGACAGGGATCGCGGTGATTTCCGACAGGAGCGAGCGTCGACGCCGATGACGGAGGGCGGCCGTCGACGGTCGACGACAACCCATCCGATGACGTCACGGTCGGTAACGGCGCGCCCGGCAAAAAGCGGACTAATGGCGGGCCGGTTAAATGACCGGAACTGCGGCTCTAATGTTTCAAGCGGGGTTCATTTGGGGGAGGGCGCGCCGCCGGCATAGACCGGCCGCCCGCGACGCCAGAGGGGCCGATTCAACGGAGCCGGCGCCGTCAAAGGCCGTGCTACGGTACGACAGGGCCCATGGAGCGGCCGGGTCACGGGGTCACTGCACCCTACAGGGGTCAGCTGCGGGTGATGGCAGGGGGGAGTCCGGAGCACGTGTCAACGCGGGGGTCCTATTGGGAAGGAATGCGCTTCGATGTGAGACACGCCGGCAAGGAGACACACCTGGATAAAGGCACGGTGAACGAGGCACTGATTTAGACAGTCAGAACCAAACGCTTGCGAAAGACGCCGCGACGCCAGGCAGGCTGGGGGCGGAGGCCTGTTCAAGCGCCGGCAGCTCAAGAAATGGACACATGCGGTGCTAGGCCGTACGTAACCACAACTACGGCGCAGCCGATCTATGCACAGTTGTGATGTGCCCTGAGTGTGACCGGGTCTTAAACAGCCGAGAGGAAAGGGCGCACTGCGACGTCCGATGCTCTAGAGAGGCAACGGACTAAAACATGAGCGGCTCCAAGTAAGTGATGCACTCGCCTCAGTGCAACCCGATGAGAGCAGAAGAAACGAACCACGAAAAGCGGCAGCCACACTGCTTGACGGTTTGAACCGCGCCGCCTGAACTTCTGACGGGGGCACACGCGCGGTGATGAATCTGAAGCCCCAGTCATGCTGCGTGAGGCGGCCTCGGCGCCAGTCACGCTGCGCGTGAGGAATGTGGCGCGCAAGTCATGCTGCCGGGCGGGTCGGAACTGGCGGTTGCACTTCCACGAAGGCGTCGACCGTGAACGGACCCATTTTGCAGCGGACCGTCACGGGAATGCCGAGGCTGAGACAGCTAGCGATGCGTCGCTCTGGGGCTCAACAACTGGCATGTAAAGTTAGGCAGCTGCATCTCGGTCTGCATTTTTACAATCTACGATTGGGATATTATCGTTGCAAGTGTGGTTTACCTGCTAATGAAAAGATGGAAGTGCCCTTCCTGACTTGCATGACCGAGAAGCAAACAAAGGAAAAGCAGTGCATCAATCGCGCTTCATCGACGCTTCCCAGGTTTCTTTTCGATCCTCTTAATAGTGGTCGTATTACACGATTGACTTATTAATGTCTGGAAGTGACGCATTTATTGTTGCCTACGCTCCGGGTCCGTGGTCTTGAGTATGAGTCTGGCGTAAGCCACTACAGCTTTCTTGGTGTGGGGTTTTGTCTGTCACTACACTCGCTGCCAGAATTACTTCGCACGGGCATCGTTATTTTCGCAGCCTTACACAGCTTTGCATTTGACGGCATCCAGCTAAGCGTGTGAAGGGGAATCAACTGTCAGAAGGGTGAGGTTGACCCCCGGTTGGTTACCGGCGCACCAGTGGGTCGGACAGTTTGAAATCTGTTGGTGTGCTGTAGAGTGTTCGTTTGCATATACCGTGCAGTTGGTGTTACGTTTCATCTCTTCTGGCTGTTGAGATCGCACATCAATGCTTAAAAGGGCGCGTCACAATATGCCGCTTCATTGTTTGTGAAAACCTTGTGCACGAGAGCACGTGGCCTGTCACACACCGACCAACACAGACAAGAAGCGCACGTCCGTTTTCTTCCGGGTGAGAACCTGTGAGTCTGGTGTCACTGTGACGCCATGCCGTTCAGATCGGTATCCCTTTTCGACCCTTGCTCTTCAGGCTTTGAAATCTTATATTTTTACGTTGGTCATGTTAAAGGGAGTGTTCCGCACTCGTATGGGGTTTTGAAATGAAACAGCCATCTTGAAGACCATTTGGCGCAGTTCACAGCCCTACCCTTCTTAATACGTAAAGCCCCTAGCTTCTGAGCTGCACGCCCGCAAAGATGTGCAGACTATTTCGGAGGGACTATTTGAAGGCCACCCAGGCGTTCATGCCGCCATGGTGACGTCATTCAAATCACTCCATTCCATCAGCCATGCGGCGATCAAGGCCAAGAAAATACAATTGTCCAGTCGTTTATATCTGGCGTTCGCGAGCACGACTTCAGATATAACGGCCGTCAGCTGGCTCTCAATTAATGTTGTACAAGGTACGATGACGTAATCAATCAATGACATGTTGAGAAACATATTCACTGAATAGAGAAATTGCGTTGTCTACAGCGGTCTTTTTCTACCCTAAAGTGTTGCAAGTGCGCGCATTACATCTCATCTGATGTTTGCTACAATATCTTCAATGTGGAACACTCCCTTTATTTTTGAACGGAAGATGAAGTTGTAGTGACACTGCGACGTGACAGGGATCAGGGAAGTACCCTCGTGATCAAGCAACTTGCGGACAAAGCTCTATAATTTACACGACACATATTTCAAGTAACTGTATTTCTTGCCGCTGAAAACTGCATGAATCTGCGATGAGGGGTTAGTAAGATATCAGTCGGGTTCGTTGATTCTTCTTGACCTAGTTATCACCAAATATCATATATGCAGCATATGCGACACACATGGGTATCTTTTGCGTCAATTTCGTTCAATTGGACAAGCTTTGTTTACGCTAAGCATGGAGACAACATTTGCTGCAACCCAAAACTGGTAGCGTTTCTGAAACTGAATCAGCGAGTGGTCCTTTGCCACAACAAAAAGCGATACTACTGCCACCTGGTCGTCTAATCGCCATCCTTCCATGGGCAGCATCAGGACCAGTGCTGCCATCTGGTTGGACCCAGTAGCGTGTTGCCCTAGCACCCTGTGGGCTTGGCGCTGCTGCCATGGACGGGTGACTTTGAACAGCCCCTCCGTTTTGGCAAGAGCGACCCCCGCCCCCCCCCCCCCCCATTTCCACTTATGAAAGGACTGATGTGCCGGAAGTAAGAGGGGTCCAGACAGGGTTAGCACGAAACACCCCTTTGAATCAGTGCTTTCGTTGGGCTGCAATGAAACATATTTTTGGGTGAAATGCATGAAAAATTAGCCGCACTGCCCTTTTCGTGTGGTTTTTCCAGTGATGTCCTCCACACCGTAGCTAATCGTATGAATTTTGTTCTCATGAAAGGCCACGTGTGAGAGGCAAGTACCACTGAGGTACTTTTTGCCGCATTTTGATCCGTGACATTATGACCACCGACGAAGCTTTAAAAGTGATGATGCTTATGCTTATCGTAACTTAACGGTTGAAACACAAGTTAAGAAACAGTATTTCCGGCCCGTTCCAGGAAAAATTAAATTAGGAAGCTGTTTGGCACACCTAATTGCTCTAATGTGCTTTCGCGAAAAGTGGGTGAACCAAGGCTAACCTGGACTCCCTGTTCCTATACCTACGCAATTGCAGTGCTATCTGTGGTCATGGCCAGAGTCTCATTGAAATAAATGGGAGGGGAAGCGAGACAAAAGCCAGACTTTCTGGTTGTCGTCCAAACGAATGAAAGTTGTGTCGTCACTTAGGTTTTTTGTAGTAGTTACAATCTACAGCAGTAGTTTTTGCTGGGAAGTATTTTTGGCTAAATATATGGGGACCGGCGGAAGAATAGGCGGTATAAAAAGCAAGGTCACTCTAAGCGGACTCAGAACGGCACCCACGCCAGCGATCTTAGCATTCACGCATGACTGATTCCATCGGAGACGCACAACAGCGATTGTTTTGCAACAGATCCCTCCCTTCGTGTCGAAGTAGCAAGCTCGCAGCGCCTGCTGAGGTTCGCGAAGGTCAGGGAAACAACATAAAGGTGTACTTGAAGGCCTTACAACTTGATTCTGACGTCTGTATGAATAGGCAAGTCACTTTTGGTGCAGGGGTGTCAAACGTTGTAAATGATTGGGGGGGGAGGGGGGGCCAAGGTCTGGACGACCTACCACCCTCTCCTCCAATTTTACTCAACGGTTTTGGCCCACTTTATTTCGAAGAAAGATATTACTCTTTTATAGTTGCCCGACCTTTTATGCCTCGAATTTTCTTATTATGAAAAAACTTTGCTTGTGCGAACTCTCAATCATTCAACAAATTTAAATTTAAGCTGCACAGTAGCCATACAGAGGCGGATCCAGAGAAAGTGGGCGGGGTATTGGAGGCATGTATCCCTTTTGAGGGGGCGGGGCATTGGAGGCATGTACCCCTTCTGATCTGAAAATAAAGGCACCCCTCTAGAGGCCACCTTGGGGCGCCGAAAACACTCGTTTATGGCGGTCATAGGCTGTGGCACGTACTTTTGGTTGTTGGGGACGAGAACATGGTTAGTCATGAAGGGCTTCGGACATAGCCTCACTCCGGAGCTTTTCAGTTGCACCTCTCAAACCTTTGCGTGTCTTATGACCCCAGGTGTGTTCAGTTTATTTGATCTTTCATCTGCTCAGCCGTTACAATGTTATCTGGGGGCGAGAGCAACACGACGGAAGTGTTGGTAGGTGCGCTGCTCCACACAATTAACGTACCTGCTTGGTCTGCGTCGGGGCGGTGAACATCCGGCCAATTTAGACATAAATTTACGTGCACCTAAGGTGTGTAACACCGACCCCATAACAAGCATGCAAGTGACAGCCCTTTTCATAGCACATGCGTTTTCGACAACCACAGCTACATCGCTGGCTTTTAGCCTCAATCCCATACAAGTATTGGTCATTGTGAATTGTTCATTGTGAGTTGTTTAACGTAACTGAGTATTATTGAGCGTTGTTGAATATTGTTTACTACGAACATGTTGTTGATAATACTTGTTGATGCCAAGACATAATTGAATCAAAAGGTGTAGTACGACGCCAACTCCGACAAAAAATTTTCGCACACCTCTCGTGTGTTACGCAAACATCTGGACTCAAACAAAGCAGCACTTTCTTACACGGGGCTGCCAAAAAAAATTGAGTAGATTGCGTGATTTGGCCAAATGCCGTGATTTGGTAGTTTTGGCCCAAGCCCTCCACTAGATCCGTGAATGGATGCATGTCATATGATGTAAGCGATTTTAAGTTCATGCGGGCTAGCTCTTCATCAGCATAACAAAGTGATTAAACATCAGTCAACCAAATAAGCTTGTCTAATGCGTAATATTGTGCTTTATGAAATGGCACCATTGTTTACTGCACACAGTGATGCACTTCTCTTTTGCAGTCAAGTGAAAATGAGTCAAGAAAATGCAAGTCAAATAAATGAAATTCAAATCAATGAAATCAAACATGTAAAAGTCAAATAGACGAACTCAAATAAATACAAGTCAAAAAGATAAAAGTTGAATAGATAAAATTTAACGGCAATATGCCAAAGGACAAAAAGTCAAAAGGACAACAACTTAAAAGAACAAAAAGTTTCATGGAAAAGTCAAAACGACCAGAGCCAAATGCAACAAGTCAAACGGTCGGCAAATCAAAAGGAATAAAAGTCCAACGGTACGAATGACAAAAAGCCGAGTGATGGAAAGTCAAGAGATTAAAGTTGAATGTGAACGGACAAGGGGCGAGCGTCAAAAGGAATACAAGCGAGATGGATGAAAAAGAAAAGGCTAAAAGTACAAAAAGGGAAGTACGAAGAAGAAAGTCAAATTGAAAGAGACTCCCGGCAGCGCTGAGGTAAATAAACCAAAATTACCTCTTCGTCCATGGTGCGGATGCACTTCCAAGTCAAGATCGGGGCACTCCGCGGCCTCTACTCAACACGAAGCTTGCGTTCGACCTACTTCAGGATAAAGCTGCTTTGTATATCAGCATGGCACCCTGGCAGGTCAGCAGGGGCCTTTTTTGGTAACTGAAGCGAGAGACGGCGCGGCAGGGAGGGAGCAAGAGGGCAGTTACCCACCCCCATGCCTTCACCCCCCTCCCCTGCCTGCGGGCAGGAGGGCAAGGGTATGCTTCCGGTTTCATTTTTGGGAGACCCTTTTTATATAAACTGGAAGCTTTATAGCCATGCATGTGTCATGAACAATTAAATCAAGAAAGCTTTCCCCATAAATGAGCTAACAAATCCTACTCCGAGTTCATAAGCCCCTTTCTGCATCAAGATGCCCCTTTCTTGATAACTGAGTGCGTGAATCGAAAAGTCTCTACTTTGGATCGGAAATATCAGTTATGTGTTAAGGAGGTCATTTGTCGGCTTGGCACGCTCCATTTGTAGATAATGTGGCCATGCTGTATAATAAGTCTATTGAAATATCAGCCCGTCCTTGTTCTGAAACAGGAACCCCATGTCTGCATCATGAGGTCACTGGCACAAATTAAAAGGCCCTTTTTGGGTAAATAGGCGCTTTGCGTCCTCATGCAAAAAGAAGTTCGAAAGCTTTTCATGTTTAGCATGGTCTGTAGCCGTAATTGGTCGCCTTTGACCAGCACTGCTGTGTACAAGCTTATCTCCATTGTCCAAATTTCCCTATGAGTTGGACGCAATGACCACACTAAACATGCTTCCTGTAACCGGAAACACTTTATTTTGGGTTCTAGAATAAAGCCTGTCCTGCTGCCATTCCGTGGATTTTCTGGACAGCTTGTTCGAGCAGTCTTGATTCCGGATGCCTGCATGCCAAGAGCAGTCCAGCAGTTTTTTGGGGGGGTTTTTGTGTACTTGACTTCATGTATTTGAGTTTTACTCTTTTGACTTTTGTTCTGTTAACTTTTTTATTTTGACCTTTGTCCTTCTGACTTTTTACCTCCCTGACTTTTGTCCTTTTAGTGTCACTCAATTGATTTTTCTCGTTTTTGACTTGTGGCCTATTCGACTTTTAACATAGGACTTTCATTTTTTCGATTTTTTTTCAGCTGACTTTTTTGCTTTCTGTTTTTTTTTGCATTTGACTATTGTCCATTTGGACGTGTTGTCTTTTGAATTTTTTCACCTGACTTTTGTTCTTTGGCTTTTTGTCTTTTCAATTTTTTGTTATAAAACCAATTTAAAGATATCACCGTTCAACGAACCTGTTGTCTGCAATGCGTAAAATGCTCACATCAAGAACAAATATTGCCGCGCAAACACATCAAGCGTGGTGACAGAAGCCCATCTTCGGTAGAGCGCTCTAGTTTGGGGAAATTACTACTAATTGTGGAATAAAACTTGTAATCGAATAACTCACGAACAACACCATAGTCGAGCATGTAAACATAAGTAAGCATCTTAAACTTACAGATAGATGAGTAAGAACACCACGAGAAAGGGTCAAAACACAAGCACATGAAGATATTTGGCTCAGGGAACACCTCCAACACCGCCATTGTCATCTCTCGGCAAGTGAAGTGCTACAGGCGAGTGCTAGGGTGGCATTTTTCCACGGCTAGTTTGGCAGCACCTCAGCGTGATACAAACGTTCCATGACGTAATCATATAATGGCGTATTGATGGGCATATTTACCGAAAATAAAAATTTTGTCGTCCAGAACAGTCTTTCCTTTCTAAAAATGTACTAATGGTTGTAAGTGAGCTTATTTCACCCTATATCATGCGTGCTTCAATATCTTCAAGCGTGACACTTATCATCCTATCTCATGTGTACTTCAATGTCTTCAAGCGTGAGACATTCCCTTAAAGACGGAACATTACCCTAAAGGTTAGTACATGGGGACACAAGGAATGGTAAGGCCAGTGGTCAGATCGGATTACAAATGACCGTGGTGCAAAGTCTCGCGCCGAGATGCCCTGCCCGTGCCCCTCAGATATATCTACCAGCTTTGTGCATCCCCATCCCCCTCTTCTCGACAGCCTTTCACAGAAAGTTTCATCATATCTAATAATTCAAGTTTGGCATATACGATAGCCATAAATGTTCCCAAATTGCCATCAAAACGACAGAATGACACTCCTGCACCCATTAAACAGGCACCCATCATAGGGGCAGCCACCACATGCATCAACAGCGGCATTCATCGAACTGGCTCCTAGCAAAGCAGCACCCGTCGAGGCGGCACACCCAGAGCAGCGCGTGCCAAGCAGGCGTAGACAGCGGCACATATTAAATCAAATTCATAAATTATACTCCACTGCAGGAGCTGCACATGCCTCCAGCCTTTGGGTCAGAAGAGAGTGGATGCATTCTTTCGTGCACTGCTATTATGTGACACGGCTTCGCCATGTGGGGATGACCCCCCGTGACCGGACGTCAGCTGACCACCGCGTAGAAGTCCGCCAGACAGCCCGGTCTCTCGAGAAATCGGACACTGTTCTGCGGGGCGAACCGTTCTCAATCTGATACCCTCGATCACGCGCGGGCGTTCTGTTGTTAGTGACTTCTGTCGCACATAGTTATGTCGCATATACCCTAATATACGGGCAAATATTGGTGAGTTTTTTTACGTCTGTAATGTTTGCTTATATACGGCACACAAAAAATCAAGCTTGAAAAAATTAACAAGTTTGCTGAATCGAATACAACGCGACGAGAATTTTGTAGTTTTCGGTGACATTGGCGATAAAACTAGTGACTTTTTTGCGTAAACTTGGAAATATGGCCCGCCTGGCTGCTGGGCTTGGCAACCCTGCAGTTGATACTCTCAGACTTCGTTAGTTGAATGCTACGACTCCGGTCGACCCAGATCGGCACCTATCCTTTCATTTCCAGCCCTTTTACTCGGATTAGGACCAATGGTCATCGCGCGCTCCGTTGCAAGCCAGAAAGGTTGGCTTCGAAGGATTCGATTAACTTTCCGAACTTGACACTAGTTCATTTCAAACCAAAAGGCGCTTGATGGCATGTATTTCAAAAACACCATCTGATAGGTCCACTGTACAAATGAAGCCTAGTGAGCGACCTACCACGCGAGACGTAACTCTTCGGTTCGAATCTAATGGCGGCCATTAGAAGCCAATCGGTGACCTAGTGAGCGACCTACCACGCGGGGCGCAGCTCTTCAGTTCGAATCTAATGGCGGCCATGAATAGACAACCGGCATGCAATGTCTTCCTTTAATACAACTCGTTGTATGGATAGACGTAAACAGAGCAAAAATCAAAACGAGGGCCAAGCGGCCAAAAGTCGTGGGAACCGCCAGGGGCGCAGCTGGCTTCTTGGTGAGAGCGAGAGGAAGTACAGGGCCGACGGGAGTGCGATTCCAGAGGAAGTCAGTGGAAGGCTCAGGCTGGTGAAAAGGCCCGCGACAACAAAAATTTCACCGGGTTTGGCCTTCTTCATTTCGAGATGGCTATTTTCTCGTTTTTTATGCCTTTTTTAATTGAACTGAAAAGTAGAAACCGCCAGAAGATACAATTCTTCTTGCATTAAGAAGCCGATAAAATGACGGAACCGGGTGTTAAATGACAGCATCGAATAACCTGCATGCGCTACTTGTACCACAATGGGCGATTACGCCCTTTCTAAACCGATGACTGCCATGGGTGTTACTGGACTTTTTTCGGACATTTACAGGGATTGTGACCTCCTAGCCCGTGGACTGTACACGAGCGTGGATTTAAACGGGTCTAAAATATGTTTATACTTTCGGAAGCAGTTCGTAAAAGTAGTTGTTTTGAGCGTACGCGCTTGCAGTCTTCTAAAGTACAAAAAATAAGGTTTTTCATTGCAGTCGCCGTAGGCCGCACCCCGTCGGTCCCGCAGCTAGCACCAGGTGGCTGCCAGCAGGCAGGCAATACGACCACGTATCGGAAATCAGTACTTTGGAACGCTTTATACATTCGATTTGTGGATATGGCAGGTTTTGCGGGATATAAATTTGACTTGCACAACGTTCATAATGATATTCGGAACATTATAACAATAAGCACGCGCTCGGGCGAAGGGGAGGGGGCTCAATATGGTTACTCCAGGTGTTTTCCTGAAGGATATCCGGACGTCGCTGCGTAGCACCGTCAAGCTTTGAATGGCTGTTGGCAATGGAATAACGGATATTTTGATATAAAGGATGTACCTTGTAAGGTTACTGACCTATGGCTGGTCAAGACAAGCATTGGCGGTCAGCGAAGAGTATTTCTAGAAAGCCGTTCAATGTGATGCAACAACGGAGTGTTAGACGAAGCCATACATATATGAGGTGGTTTCTTAGGCAATAAATGAATTGATTTTATAATTAAAATGAATTTACTTTACCTACGTTCAGGTACAAAGATATGACCGAGGTCAAAACTAACCTGCTTTTTTATTCGAGAGGTTTGTGAATGGGGCAGTTTCTGGTGTTCTTGTCGAATTCATTAACGACAGGGACCGTAACAGACGTGGTTCATTGACTTTCAGGTCAGAGTAAATCATTGATCCAAAATAACCTATTTCAAAATTTTGCTTTAGGACCATACCACCTAGTATAAGCCCTAATGCTTATTTGAATTGCAAAATAGGAGCAATCTCGTAGCTATTTGGTCACCTTGATCTAACAAAGGTCAAACAAGGCCTCTGGCCTTTATTGGACACCATTGATCTTATGCTTAGAACCGGCGTCTAGCTTCACGGTGGTTGCATGAGAAGATCTGGGGGCACTTGGGGCACCACTTTGGAGTTTGATCTTATTTGACCTTTTTTGACTGCAAGATCATGACCTAAGAACCTCAAATTTTCATAAAAGTCAGGTCACATACAGGCCAGCCCACTCTGTGAACTTGGTGTCTCCAGTTATCTAAGTTTTTTAGATCTCGGTGGGTCGAATTGGCCTCCCGTACCCCACTCGACCGAAGGGCATTCAACCGATCGCCCAGGCGCGACCTGGGCCCTTGATTTCTTCCAGACAGGGGGCTCTGTGGCTAAAACAAAAACAGTCACATTACGTGTTCAGATCAGGAGCCGAAGGCCATGCTGTACCAGCCTGCAGAATAACTACTGGCTGTCATTCTGATGGCACGTGCTGGAGCTCCCGCGTCGACCCGGGGCCCCCGGAGGGATTCAGCATGTAGCGGTCCCCTCCATGACGGGGAAAGCCCTGTGACCGGAGCAGTTGGTCACAGAGCAGCGAAGTGTCCCTCACTGACGCCAAAGGAGTTTTTCTGGTGTAGACTGTCAGCAAGCGGCGCAGGACCCGCAGTTCTACTTATCAGACTCCTGGCCAAAACAGAGCAGACTTGCACCCCGTTCGGTACTGGGGCCCCTGACTGACCTTCACTATCTCCATACAAAAGTGACGTTTCTCAAGTTTCCATGCATTGTCAGAGGGCCCTGACCAACTAAAAAACCCTCTGGCATTCGGGGCCTCATCCTTGTTCCCGTTGAAGAAATGTCTCCTGGCCATTTTGGGCCCTTGTCAACACAGGACCCTGTTAGATACTGTGGGACCTTATCGTTCCAAGGGCGCCGATCAATGAAAAAGCCTTTGGCCACCATCTGGCCCCGGCCTTTACCCCGCTTGGAAAATGAGGCACCAGGACGCGGACCGACTCGGTGCCTGTTGTTCCGTATTGCTGGCGCTTGTCCGAAAAAAGAGGCCCTCATCGACTCATGGTGCCCTCGATCGACGCAAGAAGCCCTCCGACAGGCATTTGAGTGCTCGACCCCACGGGCTGAAGTCCCTCCATAAAAGTGCTAGCCGGCCCTCAAAGTCCTTCGGACGCTCCAATCAGGCAATCAGGCCCCTGATCGTCGGTCTCAACGAGTCCCGCGCGACCTAAGGAGATGGGGGGGGGGGGCGTTCCCCCTGTGCCCAGCCCCACCCCTCACCCCAAGCCCAGGCCTCCTCACTGGGAAATGCGCCGACTGAAGCCGAAATCCTTTGGTCGGGCCACCGCCCGCGCCAACAGCTCCTCTTTTTCTCAGCGCTAGGAGCAGGTGGCACCTTTGCTTGGGCACTACCTGGCAGCGGAGGATCCGCCCGGCAGGAGCCGGCACGTTCGCCCCTTATGGCAACAAGTCTAAACTGGTCTGGTGAACAAGTCCTCAAGTGTGAGAATCGTGATCCCTCCTCTTTCTTTTGTGATCCAAGTAGCGACTCATTCTTCTCCAGCACTATGCGCCGGTAGACAATTCTGGTGTCAAGTGACGTAGGCTGCGCAGTGAAAAGTGTTGTCCGTGACTGGGCGGTGTCTGGAGGTTTGTGACCTCACCTGGTACCCTGGGATCATTTGCAAATTGTGGGGAAACTGTGGTGCTGCGGCGCAGCGTAGTTGGTCGCAGCTGGGCAATAGTTAACCAATGCAGCTGCAATGCATTCTGCTTAGAGTTCTTTAAGCATTGATCGCGTGCCATGGAGACTATGGCAGAAGATGTACCTTCCCTGAAGGCTGAAATAGAGCGACTGACCCGAGAACTAGATGAGGCCAGCAGTGACAAGATTCAATCGGCCCAGTATGGTCTTGCACTGCTGGAAGAGAAAGAAGCACTATCAAGACGGTGTGAGGAACTGGAGGCAGCTTATGAGAATTCCAAACATGATCTCAACATCACTAGTGAGGTATGCCATGGCCAGGCTGTCAGACAGTGACCACCTGTGACTAAAGTTGCTTTCTTAAAGATTATGGTGCATCAAATTTGATTGAAATGATGATTTTTATTTGTGTTTTGAATAACAGTTTTGGCAGGTCTTATTGTATCTTTAGGCATGCACCTTACTTGAATTATATGCCTATCTTGTTATGCACAAAGCTATCATTCTCAACTTATGCATACAAGTTCTTATCTAAATTTATCTGTTCTGTAATATGGCTATGGTATTCACTGTCATCATTTAAGACTTGAGCCTTGCAGTATCTGTTGCATGCTGAAGTTATGGTAAGTGTTCACCTGTTAACTAGTCATCATCCTTTCATTGTATTATTAACATTTGTGTTCCATTCATTCTGTTTGTGTTGTATGCTCTGATTGTTCTAGCATTTTCATCAATTTTATGATGTTAGCCATGCTCCACCCTTACAACCATTCTAATGAAATATAGTGGCATGGTAATCTTATGCTGTTTCCAACATTCTTCATCAGTTTTTATGTTGCAGTCTCCACAGAATTCCACACTTGCATTGAGATGTACAATTGTAACATTGCTGGTATGCACCTTTTTGTGAAGTGCTGGTTGCCTATAATCACACATACTGAGCATAGCAGTTAACACATGTAGATGGTATATTTTTGTGCATCTCAATAATGGAGTTGTGTATCTTATTACCATAAGATAAACTTGTCTGTGTCCTAGCTGCTGGAGGAAAGATTGTCCCATTGTGCCATTATTCTAGATCTATGGTGTTTCCATACCTCAGAACAAAACATCAATATTTGTCTTCCTTTCAGGCACTGGCCAAGTTCCAGACCAGCCATGAACAGTCCACCCGATCAGGCATCGAACAGGAGGAGAGCATGCTCTCTGAGTCTCATGCTCGAGAGACGTCACTCAACTCACAGATACTGGAGCTGGAAATGGATGCACGACATGTTAGTTCTGTAGGCCCAAAGTGAACTCTTGGTGGTGAAACTAGTGTGTTGTCATTTGCATGTAAATACTACAGTAAGTGTGTTTGTGCATTGCATCCTAATGCTAAGGACACCACCAAGAAGATAGAAGTTCCTTTGCTTAAGCAGTTTCCTTCATTTTTGACACTTCAGACTACCTCTTGCATCATTGGACCACAATACAAGCATTGCAATATCAGGCCAGTTTTTCAGTTGGTCTCAACATGGCTTGAAGTGTTGGAGATTTGTGTAAATCATGTTGGAAACAATAGCCATAACCATTGTCTCATCCAAGCAAGAACATCAGGACCTACTCTCACACAATGCACCCATTTTCACCACCGGCCAGGCGCGTCAGGAGGTCTCCCGCCTGCTCTCTGAGAAGGACGCGGCGCAGCGCGAGCTGGCTGAGCTGGGCAAGGACCGCGACATCACCAGCCTCGAGCGGCGCAACTTGCGCTCCGAGCTCAAGGACCTCAAGTACCGCGAGACGCGCCTGCTGCAGGACTACTCAGAGCTCGAGGAGGAGAATATAACACTGCAGAAGCAGGTCTCTGCTCTGCGCTCCTCACAGGTATGGAGCAGCGCTGGCAGAGTGTTGTGAAGGAGGCGCATGCTTTGGGAAAGGGATCTCTAAGTAGGGTACAAGTGAATGGTTGAGTTGTAGCCATTTTTGATGGAAATGTGTTATGACACAAAATTCTTATAATTAATTATGGTCTATTAACTAGGTGAAATGTTACATTCCAAATTTGATCTTTTTGTAGGCATGATTTCATGACATTATGACTATCTTCTCTTATTTTGCTCACTTCAAGACTAATAAGGTGGGCATGACAATGGGGGTTTCTCAGATTATCAGTTATCTGCATCGCCGACCGTCACATTGTCCTGCAGGTGGAGTTTGAGTCGGCGAAGCACGAGGCGCGCCGCCTTCAGGAGGAGGTGGAGGTGCTGAACGGCCAGGTGGAAGAGCAAACAGCGCTCAAGCAGATCGCCGAGAAGCAGATGGAGGAAGCGCTGGAGGCATTGCAGGTATGGCTGGGAACTTCAGGCTGAAGAGAAAGGAAGGTCTCAGTTACCTAAGGTGGAAGTTGCGATGGTGCTGATGTTGCAACAAAGTTTTGGAATTTTACGTTGTAAGCTAATGTCGTGCCCAATCAAAGCTTTTTTCTGTTTTTACTGATTCAATAATTGTGATGGAGTAATTCAGGGGTTGTGTATTTATTTAATTTTTCCACTTTCTTCTCTTCCTTTACTGATGCTCTGTGTTGTGACACACAGCTTTAAGGAATGAGACACACACAAGTAAAAGAAATCATGTGAGATTTAGCATGAAATATAAAATTTTCAGGGATGGAGCTGATGTTTGGATGTGGAGAATCTGCAGGTTCTTGGTACAATATTATTGTGTGGATCGATTAAAATATTTGTGACCACTGAGAAGATTTGGGGTTTAAGGTCAGAACTCGTCGGGAGTTTGAATAGCTGGCGCTACTCTGTAAGGTTGGATGGTTTAGGCCTATTTTCGTGATGTAAATTATGCTCCTATTCTATGTGAGAAGTGTGGGCGATTTCACCTCCTGAGATCTCAGAGCATGCTCGCACATTTTCAATTCTGGAGGTCATGGAGATATCTGGAGCTTCAGCTCTCTTTTTGCCAAACCGTTTGGTATAGTTTACTGGCACAGTCATGAGAGGAAAAGATTGGTCAGACTGATTTTATTATATCACGCATTTAAGGCATCTTAAATGTGTTGCACAAATGGATGGGCTCAAAAACCATATGGAGTATTAAATGATGCACATCAACCTTTCCCTATTATTTGGGCAGGGTGGGGGGGGGGGGGGAGGGGGCAGGACCACACTGAGAGGCAGGAGGCGAGTTTCAAATCTAGAAGACACTTTTCAAGCTGTTCGTTTATCTTGGCCGTGTGTGGCTGCGGCGCAAATAGCCACTGCAGCTGGTGGGCCCTTAACCCAATAACTCGCATGGTTATGGTTATATTATGTATGCTCTAGTAAGAACTGATCAGTTGTCTAGGATAATTATTTTTTATAAATTTATTCCCAATGGTTGTAAGGGTGATTTCGGATTCAGAGTACTGCTAAGCATAGCTTGTTGCGTGTACCCCAAACCCACCACCCCAGGCGTGCCGTCAGCTCAACAGCTAATTTTGCCTCCGCCCTTTCGCCAGACAGGCATGCGGAGGGTTTTACGTGCCGCACAATGCTGCGACACGGCCGCCTCGGGTCTGGGTTGAACCTTGTTGGCCAGTTGCCAGCTGGCCTTTCCTTTTCAGTCGGGTCAAACAGTGCGCCCACTCTGGGACTCGTACCCAGCCCAGTATCTTTCCCCAAGACCACGGAGGCGGCAAATTAAAAAGTAAATGAAAATAAGTAATTCGAAAAATTGTCAGAATGTCATTGGTGGACTCGGTTCCGCCTGGGAGAGTTGTGTGGATCGACAGCAGCTACATAGAAGCGTGCGATATTGTCTTATGTCAGTGTGGTGAGGGGGGCCGGGTTCGAACTTCCATTGCGTCATGGCTCCTGGGTATTAATATGACCGCTATACCTCGGGAACTATCGTGCCGTTCTGTACCAACAGCCAACCGTGAAAGCGCGCGCCACGATGATCATCACGTTCCTCAACATGGACTTGTCTTTGACGCAACTCGCACGCTTTTTGCCAGTACTTTGTGTCTTATCACAGTAGCAAGTGTGCTAGCACAGATGTGAGGAATTATGCTATTTATTGGCAGTGCCTGCGAAACGCGCACCTGTTGCCCGATCGCCGCGATGTGCTTCGGTGTGGCTGTTCGGGGTGATGTTCTCTCCCCAGTGTGAGCGGTTCCCGGTGTCTGCGGTGTGCTCCTGTGCGGCTGTTCGGGGTGATGTTCTCTCCCCAGTGTGAGTGGTTCCCGGTGTCTGCGGTGTGCTTCTGTGCGGCTGTTCGGGGTGATGTTCTCTCCCCAGTGTGAGTGGTTCCCGTTGTCTGCGGTGTGCTCCTGTGCGGCTGCTCAGGGTGATGTTCCCCCCCTCAGGGCGAGCGCGAGGCCAAATACGCTCTAAAGCGGGAGTTGGACAAGCGGATCAACTCGGAGTCCATGTTGAATCTCAGCAACCTGGCGCTCTCCACCCTCCGAATGGGTATGTGTGCAAACATTAATGGATCAACAGCAGCTACATAAATTGATACATAGGATAGCAGAAAAACGGCGTTGTGTGTTCTACGTTTGTTTATAGTGTTTGCCATGCATTCTCATCTACAGAATATGACGAGTAGTGATTCAGAGTGCGCCCACAAAGTCACAGTTTAACATAGCGACCCGGAATGCGATACAACGGTTACCGTTTGCATTAGAGTCGCACTCGGTTCCCCGCTCGGGCGCAGGCAGAGGGGCCGCCACTGAGGAGGCCGCCGCGCCGCCTCCCTGCCGCAGGTGACGCTCAGACGGAGAGCGAGGGCGAGGACGACCAGCCGACGCTGAAGCGTCTCGAGGCCGACATCATGGACTCGTCCGACAAGCAGAAGAGCGGCCACGTCGGCGATCTCTTCTCCGAGATCCACCTCAATGAGCTGCGCAAGCTGGAGAAGCAGATCGAGCAGGTGAGCAGGCCGCCGGCGAGCGTGCTGGTGATCTGAGTGGAGGGTGGCAGTGATGCCGATGAAGCTGGCCGAGGCGACGGGTGGACTGCTGCAGGACCTGCTGCAGTCCCTCTGATGTTTGGGATCAGTAGGTCTTCTCAGGCATCAAGTTAACAGAAGCGATTCTTTCATTGTTGTTGTTACCAGCTGCCCACTGCCACAGTGGCTTGAGGATGCTGAGGTGCTCTATTTTCATATTATTTTATAAAACGGACGGCTGTTGGGTTCCAGAGTATTCCAAATAGTCCATTTTGTGTGCCTTCGGTTTGTGTGCGTTGTGCGCTGCGTGATACTCATTTACAAACCCTGATGTTAATGACATTGTGGCATAGTTTTGTTTTCACACCAATCGCGCGCATGGACTACACCCACGGCCACGACGGTGTGGTCAGTTCTGGCGGCTGGCGGCTGCCACGTCCTCCGCGTGTGCCTCCTATCCTCCCCTGGCCGCGGACGGAGCCGGAGGGAGCCAGCTGACCCGTGCCCCTCTGCTCGCAGGCGGACGCCGAGAAGGGCCAGCTTACGCGCAGTCTGCGCGACAGCCAGGAAAGCCTGGAGCGGGCGCGCGCCGAGCTGGAGTCGCAGCGGGCGCAGGCCGCCCAGCTGGTGGCGCACGTGGAGGCGCTGATGGCCCTGCACGAGGAGGAGGAGGGCGACAGCCTGCCGCCGACGGTCGGCGCCGCCGCTCAGTCGCCGGAGCTGGCCAAGGTCGAGCAGGTACGGCGGCCGGCGCGGCTGGACCGACTCTGCGACTCTGACACGGGCATGGTGTGGGGACGGGACAGAGACGCTGGTCAAGCAGCACGCTCTGGCGACATTGGTGGCGCACAACACGGGAGAAGTTCGTCGTGTATCCTCTTCGTGGTCGGAAATGCCCATGGTTTGCGCTGTTAGATCGGTGGCCAGGCGATGAATGCTGCCACCTATTTCATTATGTGCAACTGATGAGAACATCGTGTCACTGTAACTCACGGATGTGAGGTCAAACAGCAGACCTTCAACTGGCCTGCCGGGGATGACCAGTCGTCGACCGGTGCCGCCTGTGGTGCGCCGCGGTGCTGCCATGTCGTGCCGGAGTGCCAGCCGCCCGCTCCCCTGTGCCGTCCAGGTGCTGGACAAGCACCGGCAGCGGCACCAGCTGGCCATGCTGGAGATCAGCCGGCTGCAGACAGACATCCAGCACATGCAGGCCTCCGAGACCAACTCGTCAGAGGCCGTCGTCAACCTGCGCAACGAGGTGGGCACGGCCGGCGCTCACCGCGGCCCGTGGCGGTCGGCTTCGGCTGTGCCGGCTCCGGATGCGTTCGTTACCTATTCCTACCACGAGTGTGCCGAGCCCGACTACTGTTTTGTGGCCGTCGGTGTGCACGGCTGCCCCGGCGCTGGCCGACTGGTGCTGGAGCCTGCCGCGGACTGGATCGCTGAAGGGTTGCGACGGCCGCTTCCCGGGTCGGAGCGGCTGCCGGTGGTTATCTGGGGAGGGCTGCCGGTGGTTATCTGGGGAGGGCTGCCGGTGGTTGTCTGGGGAGGGCTGCCGGTGGTAATCTGGGGAGGGCTGCCGGTGGTTGTCTGGGAGGCCTGCCGGTGGTTATCTGGGGAGGGCCTGCCGGTGGTTGTCTGGGGAGGCCTGCTGGTGGTTATCTGGGGAGGGCTGCCGGTGGTTAATCTGGGGAGGGCTGCCGGTGGTTATCCTGGGGAGGCTGGCCGTGTTATCTGGGTAGGGCTGCCGTGGTTGTCTGGGGAGGCCTGCTGGTGGTGGGTATCTGGGGAGGGCTGCCGGTGGTTATCTGGGGAGGGCTGCCGGTGGGTGTCTGGGGAGGCCTCCTGCTGGTGGTGTCTGGGAGGGCTGACGGTGATTGTCTGGGGAGGGCTGCTGGTGGTGTCTCTGGGGAGGGCTGCTGGAGGTGGAGCGAGGTATGCAAGGCGTGGCTGTTTTGTGGATTCGCCGTGCTCGGGCAGCGCTATGTTTTCATGGCATTGCACCGAACCACCTGGAATGGTAGGAAAATTTCCTGATGCCTTGAATTGGGGTTGTGTCTGAGGCCCCCAACGCGAAGGTGGAATGCGCGCCGTTTTTAGTATGCCCCAACGTCACACAGGCACTCCTTGAGAATGTGATTCACACGCGGCCTAGTCCGAGTCGATGAGGGGTTATGTGCACTGTAGGTGGCGGGACTGGCTGAGTCGGTTAACAACAGTGGCCTCCGCACGGGAGGCGCGGACCGAGCTCCCGGCCGACACTCTGGCCTATGTCTCCCTGTCTGCCCCCTGCATCGGCTAGCTCTCCTTTAAACAAGCGCAGTGACGTGCACCGCGTCTTCTTTAAAAACTCTGTGACTGCGTGACTGAGCGACGCCACTGGTCTGTCCTTGGCAACGGTGTCAGTGGTGTCCACTGCCGGCGTGGACACCGCTGCGTTGTCGCTCGTCCGGGGCCAAGTCTGACGTGTGACGTCACTGACCTGGCCGTGACCGCCGCAGGTGACGTCGCTGCGCAGCCGCCTCTCCGAGTCGGAGGTGCACGTGGGCGACCTGCAGTCGGACTTGTCGGTGCTCAGCCAGCTGACGGCGCTGACGCAGGGCACGCTGTCCAGCACGCAGGAGGACATGCTGGGCGTCAGCGAGGAGCTGGCCCAGCTGTACCACCAGGTCTGCCTGGCGCACGGCCAGACGCCCCATCGCGTCATGCTCGAGCACATGCAGAACGTCAAAACTCTGGGTACGTGGCGATGCGGGGGTTGTGTGGGGAAGACCGGGGCAGTGTCGTCCCGTCTCTGCTTCGGCGACGTCGGTCCCCGGGGCGGGCAGCCTACGCGCGGCCCCGTTCTGAGGCGTGAAAGGGAAGATAATGACATCAAGTTTTTGTGTCACTGGTGACTGCCGTATCCAGCAGCGCACATTACCGCTGTCTCGTTCGCGGCGCCCCTGTCGTCGACTGGTCGCCACCATCACGTTCGCGGCCCGGCTCGGTGACTGGCGCCGAGTCGCGGCTGACTGCGAGGTGTACCAATCAGTGTCTGTGCGCTGTTTTCACGTTAACGGAGAAGCTTCCTAGCTCCAGTCTTGTGCTGCTCATGTTGGGTGTGGATGCGCCCCCGACGGCCTGGTGTACCTGACGTGCGCCGCGTTTCGCGCAGGCGAGGGCAGTCCCAGCCGCGAAGGGTCACCCAACAGCTCGTTCGCGCCCACCAAGTTCGAGCAGCTGATGAGCTCGCTGAAGCTGGCCAAACCGCTGAAGGAGGGCGAGGCGGCCGACCCGACCCTGGTCGCCAAGCAGGTCAGCAGAGGGGGCGAGAGGGGTCGGAAGTTTGATATAGACTGGTACTGGCAGAAGCCGCTGACACCTGTATTGACTCCAGTGAAGTGGTTCATGGCTTTGTGTGGGTTGGTTTTGTCCAGGCCGTCTGGCGCCGACCGGTCGCATTGCAGGGAGCAGATCTGCTGCCTGGACTCTGCGACAGGCGGAATTGCCGTGGTCCTTCGCGCCCGCCTCAGTGTCAGAGCGCACGTCTTCCCACCCAGCTGAGACGCGACACGACGTTACACGTGTCCAGCCCCTCCCGCGTGACACCGTCCGCGTGCCGTGCCCAGATGGAGACGATCACGGACCAGGTCAAGTACCTGCGCCGCGCCGTGGAGCACGTGATGGACCTGAACAAGCAGTCGGCGGCCGGGCCGCGCGCCGAGACCGACGGCGAGGCCGACACCGAGCAGCTGCAGATGGAGGAGCTGCAGGAGCAGGTGCGCTGCGGGCGGCCGGGGAGGGGAGGGGGCGGGAGCAGGGACGGCCGCGCCTGCTGTCTCCGTACCGTCCGAGTGGGCGCAGGTGGAGTCATTTCGGGGCGGCGCGACGCCAGGAGCCTCGTTCAGGAGCGCCGCTGCTATCCTGCGGTGGGTTCGGACAGGGGCCCCATGTGTAGGTACGGCCACTGCGTCGTTACTGGGGTGACATACTCAGACGGTAGGTGTCGCTTACGGGGGATGGTTATCTGCTCGTACACTGTGAGCTGCCGTCCGCCTATTACGCCACCAGGGTGGAAGGTAAGGTGTGTGGTTGGAGCTGTGGAGATATTATCTGGGACACGTGGGCTAGTCGTGAATAAGTTATGGGGTTCAGAGCCTGCCATAGCTATTCTATTTGCAGTGGCGTAATTGTTTTGGACGAGCTGCGTCCTAACACTGTCGCATGACAATGCTGGTAAGGTCCCCCTCCAATCCTGGACATTGAAACCGGTTTCTCCGCGTAGCTTGACCGTGTTCCCCGCCTCTGACCTCCCCCGGCGCGCCAGGTGATCAAGCTGAAGAGCCTGCTGTCCACGAAGCGGGAGCAGATCGCCACGCTGCGCACCGTGCTCAAGGCTAACAAGCAGACGGCCGAGGTGGCGCTGGCCAACCTCAAGTCCAAGTACGTCAACGAGAAGACTATTGTCAGCAAGACCATGATGAAGCTGCGCAACGAGCTGCGCCTGCTCAAGGAGGACGCGGCCACCTTCTCCAGTGAGTCGGACAGATGGGCTGACGCATCTGGGTGACCTGCTCTGGATCAGGCGCCGCTGGGCCGGGCCTATCAATGGCTTGGTTTCCGAACGCCTACGTCTTTGTCTTTACGATGTGATGGCTACCCCACGTGCGGTGCTGAGGTGTGCATCACATGTGCGTTGGTTATTCTTCGTCCTTTACTTTTTGAAAAATGCCTTGGCACTGTAAGGCCGTTCGCGCTGTGGATGATGGTGCAGCTCTTAAGCGGGGTGATATTTGCCACATCTATCTGTGATGCAGTGCACTCCAACCTCACGGTAAGTTTGTCTCGTCGATCATACTCTGGGTGGGGTCAGCGCGAGGGCGGAGGCGGGCCCTTGCGAAGTCGCGGCGTACGAGGCTAGGTGTGAGCTCCTCGGCCTGTGGTACAGACGTGCCGCCGCCGCCACCGAGGCTGCGTGTCCCGTCCACGGGCCGCCGTGTGGCGGGTGTTGGCCGTGCCGCCGCCATCACCAAGGCCGCGTGTCCCGTTCACGGGCCGCCGTGTGGCTGGTGTTGGCCGTGCCGCCGCCGTCACCGAGGCTGCGTGTCCCTTTCGCGGGCCGCCGTGTGGCGGGTGTGCGCCGCGCAGCCGCCTCACCGCTGGCGCCGCCGCCGCCGCCAGGTCTGCGCGCCATGTTCGCCGCTCGCTGCGAGGAGTACGTCACGCAGGTGGACGAGCTGCAGCGACAGATGGCCAGCAGCGAGGAGGAGAAGAAGACGCTCAACTCGCTGCTGCGCATGGCCATCCAGCAGAAGCTGACGCTCACCCAGAAGCTGGAGGACCTGGAGCTGGACCGCGAGCGGCGGCCGGCGCGCTCCTCCGCCGCGCAGGTCAGTGTCGGGGCGGTCACCGGGTGAGGTCAGGTGTGGGTGACGTCACGCGCCGGGCTGCTGGTCTGCTGTCGTGTGCCGCGCTGGTGCGCGTCGTGTGCTTCGCGCTAGATGTTCGGCGGGAGTTGACATTGGGTCGTTGTGTTCTGAAGAGTCGATCTCCCGCCCTCCCACCTCTCATCCCCAACGCACTATGCTTTAGCAGTTGGTTGACGTGCTACATTCACCGTGGTGCGGCTGTTGTTGCTGTTGTTGTTTTTGTTTGTTGTCAAATTCTGTGAACTTGGGTCAAGTCCACGTTCGCCGTCCGCCTCGCCTTGTTACACTGTTTCGCGGCCGCCGCATCACCGTATCCATTTCGATCGCTGTTGTCAGTCCCTCGCCGGCCGATCCGTATGGTGCCACGTCCGCGGCGGCCAGTGTCACACCCGTGCCGGTCACGCGTGCCGGCGTCACCGGGCCGCTCGCTCGAGTGCGCGTCGCCCCGGCAGCCTCCGTCGGCACATCGCCGGCTCGGCGTCAGCCGCGCGCTGACCCGGCACTGTGTCCCGGCGTGTGGCGGCCGGCCCTTCGATCCCCTTCAGTCACACTTTGCTATGACACTGTGACACCGTCGCTGGTGTGTCACTCTGCCACAGTTTCTGTCCGTCGCCGTCGGTCGTGAGTCGCCGTGCCAGCTCCTGCGCGTCGCTGTCAGTCACCGCTTCACCGCGGCTGGCTGTGTTAATGTTGGACGTGGCTCGCAGTGGCACTGTATCTCTGTCAGTGACGGTGCCAGTGGCAGTGGCAGTGTCACGGTTGTGTCAGCGCCGTGTCATCGTGTCATCGTGTCATGACATCTCTCCGTCGCTGCCGGTGGTGCCGTCGCTGTTCCGACTGCGTCTCCGCCGGTGCCGCGCCGCCGCGTGACTGTCTCCCTCGTGCCGGCAGGACGGCAGCTGGCGCCGGTTCGGCGGCGGCGAGCGCGGCCGCTCGCGGGGTGGCGCGGCCCGCGGTGGCCGCTTCTCAGCCGGCGGCGGCGGCTACGGACGTCGGGAGACCTGACCCGCGTGCACCCAGATGTAGCCCCGTTCACCTGCAGGCCGTGCCCGCCGTCCGGTCGACGGCGGGCCGCCCGGTCTTAAGCTGCGGCCGGCCGGCGGCGCTGTAGTTCTTCACTCGCTTCGACATTTCAGCGCGGCGCCGCGCCGTTTGTGACGCGGTGCCGCGTGTTCCGGCCGGCAGCGTACTTAACGTGAATGCAGCTGCGCGTACGGGTCCTGTGAGCGCGAGATCAAGCGGATACCAAAGGAGGCTGCTCCCATCTCTCGTCTGAAGTGGATGCAATATCGTGAAGTATTACGGCAGCGTCGTTCTGATTCCACGCGGTGCTTCCGGCGGCTGCCGTGTGTTCGGCGCGTTCGTTTCCGTTACTGCGCCGCACGCCGTCCATGGGGCATTTGTCCGGTCGCGAGGGACGTTGCCAGACTGAGCCAGTGTATATTCCGGTTGCCATGCTCCCCTGCCGCCGCTGGACTGTCACGCCCCCACCCTCCCCTTGCCCGTTACGGTCCCCCTCCCTGGCTGCTGTCGGTGCGGGCGCCTGTCCTCGTGTTGTTGCGGGCCGACCCTCGGCGCCCCCGCGCTCCGCGTCTGTTGTACAAAGTCGGGCAGGCCGCGCCGCTGGCATGCTTGTGCCAAACCGTCCAGGTGCGGCCCGGCCCGGCGGCGGCCGCGCCCGCCGCTGGCTCGGCTCGGCTGGCTCGTGCCCGCTCCCAGGGTGGGGGTGGCGAGCGAGCCTCCCCCGGCCGAGGTGTGGACCAGCCGCGTGTCGCGGCGTTCTCAGTCGCGGCCGATGTATTTATTGCATGCCTCTGAGCTTGGTGCGCGGTAGCTTTAGTCTGGAGGTGGTGTGTGAATGGAGGACCGCTCGTGAAACACCCACGAGGCAGCTGATCGGTTTTATATTTTGTCCTTTTAGATGCGGAATATGTTTACATAATATGCGACAATCGAGTCTGACCTGCGCCGACAATATAACAGGTAACTGACATGTTTAGTATAACTGCGCTTTAATAAACTATCGGAAAACAATGAGCGTTCAGCATGGGACCAGACAGGCATGCACGATCTACAGGAGCAGATGTCTTGCGGGTTGAATTGTTCACCGGAATTATTCGAACGGAGCGCATGAAATGCTGGGACGGCCGCCTTCTGAGCGACATCGTCGCAACATGGCTTCTCTGCAGCTCAGGCGTCCCGCTAGGTCTGACCGGAAATTCGTAAGTTGCCGAATCGTACTGGTGTCCGTCTGGCCTCCCGACGCGGCTGCGAGGCGTCTCGGTACGCTGACGGCTGCACACGACGACGTAGGATACGGACCGTGACGGCACGCCATCGCGGGAGCGGGGCTGCCGGATACATCCCACGCGTCCGTGTCAGCGGCCTCGTGATTGCACGCCGCAGCTCTGTGCTCGGCATCGACGCAGGCGACTGGCACTCCGCCGCCGAGCCCAACCAGCTGGGTCGTACCGCTGGTACCCCACAGCCCTAGCAGCTGGGTCGTACCGCTGGTACCCCACAGCCCTGGCAGCTGGTTCGTACCGCTGGTACCCCGGAGCCTTAGCAGCTGGTTCGTACCGCTGGTACCCCACAGCCCTAGCAGCTGGTTCGTACCGCTGGTACCCCGGAGCCTTAGCGGCTGGTTCGTACCGCTGGTACCCCACAGCCTTAGCAGCTGGTTCGTACCGCTGGTACCCCGGAGCCTTGGCAGCTGGTTCGTACCGCTGGTACCCCACAGCCCTAGCAGCTGGTTCGTACCGCTGGCACCCCGGAGCCTTAGCGGCTGGTTCGTACCGCCGGTACCCCACGGCCCTTGCAGCTGTTTCGTACCGCTGGTACCCCGGAGCCTTAGCGGCTGGTTCGTACCGCTGGTCCCCCGGAGCCTTGGCAGCTGGTTCGTGCCGCTGGTACCTCACAGCCCTAGCAGCTGGTTCGTACCGCTGGTACCCCGGAGCCTTGGCAGCTGGTTCGTACCGCTGGTACCCCGCAGCCCTAGCAGCTGGTTCGTGCCGCTGATACTCCGTAGCCCTGGCAGCTGGTTCGTGCCGCTGATACTCCGTAGCCCTAGCAGCTGGTTCGTACCGCTGGTACCCCGCAGCCCTAGCAGCTGGTTCGTACCGCTGGTACCCCGTTGCCCTGGCAGCTGGTTCGTGCCGCTGATACTTCCGTAGCCTTGGCAGCTGGTTCGTACCACTGGTGTCCCGAATCCTTGGCAGCGAGACAGCCCGGTCCGTGTGACCTGTGTACTGACGTCCCCACCTCCAGTCGTCCACGCTCTGTCCAGTAGTCACGACTGACACGCATTGGGACGTGCTCCTGTGAGGTCAAGCACACCTCGACTCAGGCCTTGGGTCCCAGGGCGGCGCTCGACTCGCTGCGCATGTCTGAGGTCCCTGGCCGCTCGCCGTAACACAGGGCTCGGCGCGAGTCAGCGCCGCTCGTCCGGCACGCCCCGGAGGGGCCTGACGTCGCGGGGCCGCGCACCATGGGACTGGCCTGCGGTGGCGTCGCTGGGGGCGGTCGCAGCTGGCCCCAGGCGCCGCGCTGGCAGCTCAGCACTCGCGCCACCGCCGCCAGTGCGGGCGTGCTCTGCTGTGGTTGGCCTGATAACCCCAACCCGAGCATTAACTTACCTATGGGCCTTGCTTACATCTATAGCGCAGTACACCAGACTGACGGACATGCAGCTGTGACAAAAGCTGTCTGCGGATCACTGCATAGCAACGCTTCCCCGCCACACATCGCCACAACCACTTGTAATGCGACTCTCCACACTTACTGCGCAGATTTGACATGGACTTTTGCCCGCGTTCCACCGCATCAAAACCGATTGCACCGTATCAACCTCGTTCTAAACCAAATAACTCAACGGCTGGTTGCGCCCTCCAACACTTACCTGTGTGTATGGCATCAGCGCGTCGACGCGGCAAACAACGCCCCCCCCCCCCCCCCCCCCCCCCTGTCAACAGCTGTCGTATCTCGCCCGCAAGTCGCACAGCGTCCAGGTCCCTATCTACGCGCCATGTACCCATCCACGCGTTATCACTCGTTCAGAAACAAAAACATGGGTTCGGGCTCGGCGAAACGCTTGCGGCCGTGAAGCATATCGCTGGTCGCGAGGAAGACCGCAGGCCAAACGGATCGATTACGTCGCCTTACCAATCCGTCTGGCCATTCTTGCGTCAATTCTGGTGTTTGGTGCCAAGCCCCGTCTGTTGGACATCACACGCACTCATTCTTTCGTGTTTGGTATTAAATGAACGTCAGATGCAGTCTCCAGCTAAGTATTATGGCTATTTTAGGATGCAGGTAACTAAATGGTTTGATCAATCAGACAGCAATAGCTATAGATAGCGGCTGCACATCATTTCCAATTGCTGCACTCACAGCCATTTCCATTGTTGCATTTACGACCGTTTCCATCGCTGTATTTACATTTTACAACCACCACGTCTGCATGAGCACCTGCATGCGTACAGGACACAGACATTGCGTAATTCAGAGATCCGACTAGACCAAGAACACTCCTGAACGGCGAGGGTATTCATCGCAACTGCCGTCCGCTTCGGCGCTAGATATTTGGTGTCCGAGCGAAAAATCGACTCGCGGTTCGCCGAGCGCCTTTCTGCCAGCTGCTTTAGGGTGAACTCCACATTGGTGTCATGTAGAACGTCGGTGTTCAGAAATTCGAATCGGTTCGATGCCGAACCACAGACTGGCGGCACGGACGAATGGCGCAATGCCAAAATGGCGAACCCCTAATTGGGAATTAAAAAATGATGACACGTGAAAAAGTTGACGTGCCGTAATGGAAGGTGCGAAATGATGCGTAAAAAGGTTGGCATGCTAAGCTGGCATACGGCTTATGTTGCCTAACTACTGAAGGGTAATGTTTGAATAAATGCCGACATTGAAGATATCTCAGCTGACACCCTATTTAATTTATGACATCCAACAGTGCGACGCTACCTTGTCTTTTAACCTTGAACAGGTATTTACAAATCAACCTTGATTCACGTGCTCTAACACGCGCCCGGGTGGCCGGCTCGATACCTTCGCTAGTGTGAGGGTCAAATTGACCCCCCTGAAATCCCGGGAACTAAGAAAGCTAGAGACACCAAATTTACAGGGTGTGTGGACCTGTACGTGAACTCACTTAGGTCGAAGTTTCAGGTTCCTAGGTCATGACCTTTGGGTCCAAACGGTCAAACAAGGTCAAGTTCCAGGTTGGTCTCCAAAGTGCCCACAGAACGAAGATAGCCGTTTCTAAGCAAAAGGCCACATTCTCATTTAAGGTCAGTGACCTTGTTTGACCTTTTGAAGGTCAAGGTGACCAAAATCATACAAGATTGTTTTGAGTTTTGCATTTGACTAAGCGACAAAGATTACGCTAGGCAGTATGTTCCTAAAACAAAGTGTTGACCTAGGTCATTTTAGGTCAATGACCTATTCTGACCTCTAAGAAGTCCATGGAAGATGCATAATGCGGTTCCTGCTATCAATAAACTCGAAATGAGCACCAGAAACTATCCCATACAGCAAGCCCTAGAGCAATAAAACAGGTTGGTTTTGACCTTGGTGTGACCTTCATACCTGACCTTAGGTCAACGTAATTTTGCTCATTCAACTGTTGTGTTGTTTAAGAAAACACTCCGTTGTTGGATTAGGTTGAAAGATTCCCTAGAAATTGCCTTCGCTGAAACCATGGCCTGACTTTGACCTGCCATGGATCAGCGATCTTACAGGGTCCATCTAAATTTTTGATGTCAAGCGATCCGCTATTCAATTGTCTACAGCTATGCAAAATTAGGCGGGGCTACGCCGCGCCGTTCGGAAAAAAACCTTTGGGGGGTCAATTTGACCCCCCCCCCATCCGAGCGCGTTACAGAGCCCAGGCTTCAACGAATACCTAGGCTTCAAACGGCACTTGCCCGAGCGCATCAGTCCCATACAGCAGCAGGTCGGCGATGCTCCGTCCTTTGACCTTGAAACTTTGAGTTTTTATAACTTATTTTTAACCGCAACGACTGACCTTGAAGGCCGTCATTTTCATAACTAGGCTGACACGCATATAGGCCTCTCAGATGACTCAGATGACTAGGCACCCATATAGGCCTTTTGGTAAGCCCGTGCTGCCCCGTTTTTTACCTAGACCTTCACCGCCTAGTTTGGCTTTCACTTACGGGTTTCTGGGAGCCCAGGCTGGAACTGATTACTGGTTTTCAGACGACCCTCCATTTAATGATGGTAGTGCTTTACAGCGGTAGCATGACACTACCCCGTTCTTGGACCCTGAGTGTGACCCTGACTCGTTTGTTTTTTTTTACCTAGACCTTAACCGCGTAGTTTGACTTTCACTTACGGGTTTCTGGGAGCCCAGGCTGGAGCTGACTTCTGGTCCTGCGATCGATCAGACGACGCCCCATTTAATGATGGTAGTGCTTTACAGCGGTAGCATGACACTACCCCGTTCTTGGACATTGAGTGTGACCCCGAAAATCTACCTGGATTCACGCCTTTCCGGCAGCTGAGGCTGAAGTGGATATCTGGCTAGCGAATGACCTGGCCGCCTCCATGGTCTAGGGGAAAGATGCTGGGCTGGTAATCAGGCGGCGCTGGATACGATTCTCAGAGTAGGCGCACTGCTTGATCCCGACCGAAATGGAGAGGTCGGCTGGCAACTGGCCAACGAGGGTCGACCCGGGCACGGGGCAGCCGTGTCGCAGCTCTGTGCGGCACGTAAAAACTTCCGCATTCCCGTCTGGCGCGAGGGCAGAGGTAAATTATCTGTCGACTCGACGGCACGACTTTGGCGTGTTGGGGTGCACGCAGCAAGCTATGCTTAGCGGGTTCTGTGAGACCGGTGAGACCACACCCATGCAAACTATTCAGAATAAATTTCTATAAAAAACGACGCCATATTTAGAGGCGTAACCTCCATACAACGAGAATGGGATTTCACCCCAATCTGGACTTAAGCGTGCCCCTGAAATGTATTTTTGCCACCCTACGCTGGAACGCACGCCTGGCTTTCATCTGGAGGCTTTCCCACACACATAGCTTTCATGTGGCGTTGCCCTCGCGCGACCTCGCTCTCGTGACAGCTGGAGGTCAAACTGCTTGAGATAGAGAAAAACACGGTTCTAAACCAGCGGGTTGTGTCTGATCTTGAAACCATTTTCATCGGGATTGGAAACTATGCGCTGAATTCGAAAATGAATACGCCGCTGCGCCGTCTGGTCAAGACCATTTCGTCCGTCTAATGCGCTTGACCCGCGTGCGCAATGCGTCGCACCGGCCCATTAATGCTACAACCATTTACAGTCGCCTTTCATCAACCAACCCAACATGTCGAAGAGCCGCTAAGCACGGCACCTGGCACCCCGCCGTCCCATACAACGTCCTTTACTTACGATACCCATACGCCCACTAGAGACGGCACGCACGTCCGCCCACTGGCTATTACGGCCGCCAAAACATGAGAGCCGGACTGTTACAACGGTTGTCTAGTGGGGACAGCACTCAGTGCTCGTGGTATGCGACAGGGGAACTAACGTACACAACACACATCTGTACAAATATGGTATACTTACTTCCCTGCATCGTTCACATTCAAATACAGCCCCTTCACAACGCAGTTTATTGACGATACCTCCCGTTTCAGGTAGTTAAGGAATGATATGTCCGGCATGCAATTGAAAATATATTCTCAAACAGCGTTCATGATTAGGTGGCGAGCCGAGCGGTAGCGAATCACATACAAGGTAACTCCCGGATCCGCCGCGGTAAAGCTGCGATAATGCGATCCACATACAACGCGTGCGATAAAATCACCTGGCATGCACGCACCCGACAGCACGATCACGTATGGTGCATGAGTCGTCTGTTACACGACCTGAATCATTTCCACTCCTAAACAGCAGGGCAATCCACGTGTTCAGACCAGCACCGACCAGATAAGACGCGCAAGTGCAATACCAAATGGTGATCATCCAGAAAGCAACACGGCCATTTCGTCACCACGCATCAGTCCATCGTTCCTTCTGGGTGACCACACGCCCAGGCGAACCAGGCCGGCAAGGCACTGTTCGAGGCCCCCAAAGGTCCGCCTGAAAGGGACGGTCCGCAGGCGGCCTCCAACAACGAGCACGCCCGAGGACAAAACGAACGCGCCTCGGACTGGAATTAAAACCTAACCAACGGTGTTAAAGACGGCAACAAACGCCCGGTGGCCCGACATGGGACCGTAAAACTAAAACCGATTAAAACACGGCCGCTTTTTCGGCGTGGGAGGCTCAAGGTCAGCGGAAGGTCGGAGGCCGGGAGTTCGACGAAGCTCGCGGGCGCGCGGGCAATAGCCGGCGAGCCCGATAGGTGGCGCTAGTAGTCGTAAAACTCGCTGCAAAGGCAACAGGCGGCGGTGAGGCGGCGCCTTCCGGGCCCAGCGCGGCCAGACAGGCACAGGCGCAGGCGACAGGCGGCAGGCGGAGCGCGGCCCTACGTCACGCTGCTCACGATGCCAGATATCGAACGACGCCTGCTGGCGGTCCAACGGCCGCAAACCCTACCGCGGCCGCTGGGAGTCATGACAGCACCCAGCTATCAGCGCTCGCTGCTCAGGTGTTGCAGTCATGCGGGGGTTGGGATGGCGATGGCGCGACGCGTCACCATGCAGGCCGGCGTGCAAGGCATGCAGCTGTAAGGGTGGCCGGTCAGCGACCGCTGGGTTAGCCGGAGTTCTACAGCGCAGGTGGTATCCGGAGTTCTACAGCGCGGGTGGCATGCAGGCTGCTACAGCTCGCTGGTGTCCATCCGTGAAAAGCAGGCTGCGGAGGAGCACATGCCCGGAAGCGTGTCAAGTTCGTCACACAGATACGACGCCTTCGCCCCCCCCCCCCCCCCCCCCCCCCCCTCTCCCGCAGAGTGTTAGTGTAGCTACAATTGTAGCCATCGAAAAACTCAGAAGCGTGCAACGAAACGATAACGGGAACCCCACTGACCCACCACCGCAGCCTCGTGCCGCCACTGTACGCGGATCGTCGGGCGGCCAGCACCAATGTCTTGTCTCTGGAGCCGTGTCCGCCGCCGGACCGTAGCGGGCAGCGACCAGTGTGAAGTTCAGCTTGCACAGACCGCCACCAGATGTCGGGCCGGTTACCTGTTGCCGTGGAGACGGCGCGTGTTGGCCTGCCGCTGCCGGGCCAGAAAGGACGACTGGCCGCCGCTGATGTTCGAGAGACGCTGCTCCACCGCCTGGCGGTGGATCTGCGAGCCCTGGGCACACGTTCACGTGTCACAAAACCTGGCTCCGCTGGATGGCGCATCAAACCCTGCCAACGCGGCCGCGCTCCTTCCCGCGTGACGTCAACCGCTGAGGGTCGAATGGAGACAACTTCGTTCCCAACCGTGCTGTGCGGTTTAGATCACTGGGTTCAGTGCAGGCTTCGGGCTAGTTCGCGACAAACTCACGAAGTTGTAGAAGGCGGTGGTGATGAGCCGCTCCTCGGCCTCGCGGATCGACTTCGCCTTCTCGCTCTCCTTTTCCATCACCTCCAGCAGGCGGTCCTTCTCGGCCAGCTGCGACGGCGCCGCGACACATCAAACACAATCCAACAGTATTAACAGCTTACCCAACATGATAAACTTTCGTCTTACAGTACCAAGTAAACGACCCATTGTGAACACCACTCACACTTCAAATGGGAGTGTGCAGCGTAGCAACATGGGACGCATCCCGTGCCCGCCTCGTCGCCCCAGACCCCTCCAGAGGGCCGCCGAGCCGACCGAAGCCGTCTGCTGCCCCGCCGGCGGCGAGCCCACAGCACACCGCTGACCTGATGACGCAGTACGGACACGTCCGGGGAGCTGGCCGAGCCGGCCGTCTTCGGGTCGAGCGAGCGGATCACCGACTTGGCCTTCTCCAGGTACTTCTTGTAGCGCTCCTCCATGGCGGCCATCTCGGCGTCGCGGCGGGACAGCTGCTCCTGCTGCTCCTGCGTGCGAGCCGCTGCCGGCGGCGCGGGCCGGCGTCAGCGCGGGCCGACTCCGGTGCGACGGCGAGGGGGCGAGACAGACACAGGCAGCAGCCCGCCGAGATGTAGCGGACCGGGATTGAGGTGAGACCAGTCAACTGGCGTCCGTACTAGCTGCGCTCGCACTCCTATCGACACTCCAGTTCATACCAGAGACAGTACTGGACACACAAGGGTACTCATGAGCCAACAGAGCATGCACCAACGCGATGCAGCGCGGGGAGCCGCCGGAGCGGGCTGCCGACACAGGCGACAATTCGAACAAGTCAGGTCGGCCGCTTGGCAGGACCTGGCGGACCCACTCACCCTGCTCGGCCAGCCGGATCTCCATCTCGCCGATCTGCATCGTCTTGTTCTGCAGCTCCTGCTCGAGCGAGTACAGGCGGCTGGTGGAGGGGGCCGCGCGCTCCGAGCCGCCACCCTCCTCCAGATGCGACTGCAGCTCCAGGATGCGCTGGTTCAGCCGCCTGTGGTGCCGACCGGCGGCGAGAAAGCGAAGCTGAGATACGCGTGGTGGCCGCGGGATACATGTGGCGCGGCGGTCGGCGGCGCGCACCGTCCCGCCGCTCGCCGGGTGTAGCCGGCGGCGACGGGGCGAGGCGACAGCCCAGCCGACCCCCGAAGCCGCAGCACAGACGAGCCGGAGCCCCGGCCGTCGACGCGCGGCGCCGAGCGACGGTGGCCGGCACGTCGGCGTGCGCACGCCCCACGTGACCGGGGACCCGCCCTGGCCGGGCGCCATGGCCGGGCGGGCCGCAGACCACGTGACGCGCGGGCGCGCCGCCGGGAACAGACAGACGGCGACACGGACAGAGTCCCGTCCCGCCCCGCCCCCGTCCCCCACCGAGAGCTCTCGCCGGGAGGAGAGGAGAGAGACAGAGGAGGGGCGCTCCTGGACCGGGCGGCGGGCGTCTCAACCGAACAGCCGAAAAGGTACTTACATGGTGCACAAGGAAGAGCCGAGTGTCGCACGCTCCGAGGTGAGCTGCAGGGGTGCGTGAGTAGCGAGCAACAGGAGAGACAAGGAGCGACACAAGAGGACAGAGAAGAGCCGCCGCCATCCAACCCACCACCGTTTACCTGCAGCGCGTCTCAGACAGCGGAAGGTCGAGAAACGCCGGTTTAATTCGCTGCCCCGCCCGGTTAGTGGCCGCGCGCCGTCCTGCGTCGCCGCGTCGTGTCGTCGCGTCCGGTCGGGTCAGGTCAGGTCAGGTCGGGTCGGGTCAGGTGGCGTCCCCGTCCATCGCCGCGCTACTGTGGACACATCTGAAAGCGAGCGCCGCGCCGCAAGCAAGCCCCGGCGGGCTGACCATGCTCTCGGGGCCGGGTCGGCCGGTGGCGAGCAGAAACACACGGCCGGCTGGCAGGCGCGTATATTCTCTCGCTCTCTCCGGAGACGGCGGCGGCGGCAGTCGGTGGCGCGGAGCGCTGTCCTGTCCGGGCGTGCTGCGCTGGGCAGGGCGGCCGGGCGGGTGCGGAGCCGGACGGCCCCTCCGTGGTCCGCCTACAGCTTCGAGGCCGGCCAGTACCGGCACACGCGAGCCCGCGGTGACCCCGCCACGGGCGACCGCAGCCGAGGGTCCCATGTCCACCAACCGCACTCGTGTCAGAAGAGACTCTTCGTGGATATCACCCGGCTCGGTGGGTTGGTGCGGCTCGGGCCGAGCGGACCACAGAGGGGTCGCGCACACGCTCTCGCACCCGCCGCGCTGCCGGGGTCTACTTCTGAACGCTCGATAACGGAGACAGTGCTCAAGAAAGGCGTCGTGATTTGACCCCACCGACCTCATCATGTAGCGGGTTGTCCGCTTTCGTGTGAAAGAAGAGTGTGGGACAGAAGTAGAAGCCACAGCATGCCCAGACACAACAACCTTCCGTGTCTTTATGACATAAAGCTCACAGTCGCTCACGCACACTACAATGTACTAAGGCAGTGAATAATAAATGAGAGATTCGAAGCAAGATCATATCATTCAGGTGCAACCAATCGCAAGGTGAACTAGCTACTTAAATGTCGTTCCATCTAGCACCTTAAAGTTGCAAAACACAAAACACAAGTTGCATTTAAAGCAAAGGCGCATGCTACCAAGATCTAATCAAACGTAAAACTACAGACCAAACAAGAAAACGACAAAATGCCCTCCCATCCGACAATATTGGGACCAGACAGCGCCACCAAGCAGCCAAGCACCGCGCGCCCTCCTCCCGCTGGCTACCAAGACGTGCGACGTTCGCCGCCGACTGCCTAACGCAAGCAACGCAACAAAACCTCAGCACGCGTGCCGCCGTCCGGCGTGCCGGCGTCAAACCCGGCGCGCAGACATCTGTGAAAGACAAGCAGACGCGAGCCGACGCGGCGCGAGGGGCCGGGTCCGACGAGGTGAGCTCCGGTGGCAGCTCCCCGCCGCGGTCGGCCCTCGCCGGCCGCCGGGCGGCCAGGCCGGGGCCTGGCCAGCCGGCAGGGCACGTACGTCTGCGTCCTCCGCGCGTGTGGCGTCGCGTGAGCTAGCGCGGCGGCGAGCTCACGGAGCGCACATGGCGAAGGTGGCGCCCACCAGGGTCACCGTGTCCATCAGCTTGCTGCGCCGGTTCTTCGACTTGGAGCGCGAGCGCGAGCGCCGCGGCCGGCGGGAAGCTGCGCGAGCGCCACCGCGCCATGGCCGGCTGCGCCTCGTCCAGCTCGTCCTCCTCGTCTCCGTCGGGCGCGGCGTCGCGCGGCGGCGAGCGCTCGGCCAGCGGCGCCAGCCGCGCCGCCGGCGAGAACGCCCGAAACACCTCCGGGTGGAACTCCTCGGCGGACGCCAGCGACGGCGTGGCGCGGCTGCCGACGGCCGAGTCCTTGCTCGGCGTGGTGACGTACAGCGGCTCATCCAGCAGCGAGCCGGACGAGTCGCTGGCGCCGGCGGTCGAGGGCCGGCGGCGGGCCGTACAGGCCGTCGTAGCAGCCGATAAACGACATGCGTCGCTCCAGGTACTTGTCGCTGCGCTCCGTCACGCCCGTCATCGTGGTGGTCCCCGAGCCACACTCGATGTCCATCAGGCGCGCCGCGTCCAGCGTCGTGCGCCGTGACGAGCAGCCGCAGCCCGAGTCGAGCGAGTCCTCCTTGCGCGCGGGCACCTTCAGTTGGCGTTGGCGCTGGCGCGCCCCGGCCACCGCTCCTGCTTGTACTTGACGCTGCCCTGTCGCGTGAAGCGCTGCGGGCCGCGCGACGACGCCACGCTCGCGTCGTCGCGCGACGAGGCCACGCTGGCTGCGTCGTCGGCCGGCGGCGGCAGCAGCAGCGGCGGCGGCGGCGGCGGGGGCGCGGCCGGCAGCAGCTCGCTGGTTGACGTGGCCATGTCCTGCAGCCGGCGGATGTACTCCTCGGTGTACGCTGCTGACGGCGAGCGCTGCGGCCGGCCGTGCGTGCAGCCGGGGCCGCACGTCACAACCGGCGAGTGGCGCTGCGGCGTGCCCGCCGCCGACACCAGCTGGTCCACGTACTCGCGCAGCAGCGCGTTCGGGCTCAGCCGCACGCCGCTGTCGGTCGGGCTCGGCCGGCGCAGCTCGATCGGCTCCGGCGACGTGCACAGCTTAATCTCGTGAATGTGTCGGATGGTGACCTGGTCAGTGAGAGGCGCCGACGACGGCGGCGGCGGCGGCGGTGGCGGGGGCGGCGCCGCGCGTGCCGCGCGCGCCGCGGACGCCGCGAGCGACGGCGGCGCCGGGACGCGCACTGGGGCCCGCGCCGCCGCCGGTCGGCGCGCCAGCAGCTGAGTGTCGGACGCCCACCTGTTCTCAGCCTGCAGCGAGGTCTCGCGCGCGCGCAGGTCGTCCAGCAGCGCGCGGTACGCCTCCTCCTGGTCCTGGCGGCCCGCCGTCGACGCGGGCGCGCAGCTGCCGGTTCTCGTGCTGCAGCCGGAGCAGCTTCTCCCTGCGGGCGGGGAGAGGCGGCGGCGCCGCTGCAGGGAGCTCGACGCGGCAGGGCGATGCCAGGCCTCAGGCGGAGGGAGCCGAGCGGCTCTCACGGGGCAGGCACAGGGAGGAACAGGCTCACTCACGGGCTCATCTCAACACTGCCGCGACACGGACGGGGATGGTACTCACGCTAACACACTTGCCTCAGACACGGGCTGATCCGTCACCCCCACACGACCACCAGAGGCTCACACGGCTCACGGGAGGCAGAGGCGTCACACGTAATAGTTACCGCGGGGATGCGTGGTACGCTGGAAGTACAGTCGTCGCATTTACACACTCGCTCACTGGACCGGCTCAAGGACTGAATCGGGCCCGCCAATGAGCAGTATCGTCGGACAACAACAAACAATGCGAAGCTCATGGATGAATAACTTCGAACTGACACAAAAACACACCGCTTGAATCACATCAAACTTGAAGAGCTGGCTCAAAACCAGGCAGCCAGCCAATGATCGCGACAAAAAACTAAGCCAACAAGCGCGTGCACAAGGGAGCATCAACCAGGCGGGCGGGACAAACACACGAATGAGGCGACTGGACCCTGGAGCGAGCGCAAAACACTGCACTTAGCAGTGATTTCGAAAGCCAACCGACATGCACGTCGCCCACACGCATGCACACGCACATACAAGCAAGGGCACGACGCGTCCGCAGGCCGCGCGCACGTCACCCACCCTGAGAAGAACTCTGATGGCAAGTCAGCCGTTTTCTGCGTACGCACCGACGGCGGCTAGACCGCTTGCTACACGCCGGATGGCTCGATCCGCATGACAAAGGACACTCGCTCCCCCTGCCGCTTGAGGACCCCCGGCAAATCAGAGTCCGTCTCCAGTGATTCACACGCCACGGCTGGATGCGGCGGACATGTACTGTAACGCGCCAACGATCGCGAGCCTGTTATCAGCGAGCGCTCGGACGGCGGCAAGTCTCCGCTCGTCAAGGACAGCCCGCAAAAAGGGCGGCTTCGATGACAATCTTGCCCAAAAGCACGGCCGTTTAAAATCGCGGCCCGGACAACGGGGACATTAGCTCATGGGGAAAAGACATGGTGCGAACGGAGACAATACCGCCCACGTTCCGGGCTCTGTATAGATCGATAACATGCTTCCGCGTCGAGCAGCCGGGACAAATGCCAGCTCCAGCGGTTGACGGCTGCCGCCGCCCCGTCAGAGCCAATGTACCCTAACGAGTCGGGCTCGACCGGTCTCGGGGAGGACACTCCGCCCTCCGAGTCCGTGGAGGCCAGGACACACTCACGTGAACTCGACGTGGCGCCGCCTCCGTCCGATCACATCGAGCCAGGAGGAGCAGCCGGACGCATCAGCCGGGGGGTGCTGCGTCTCACTCGAACACTACCACCCACACTCACACTCAAACCCACCCCAGGGTAAACACCTACTGCAGTCCACGGGACGTCGCCCAGGTTAAGCCATATCAGCCCGTGGAGAACAGCACATATCCCCTGCATCAATGTGCTGCCTCCCCCTCCCCCCCCCCCCTCCCTCCACCCCACTCCCGAGATGTCACCCGAGGGCATCACTTCGACACATGCATTCCCTGCAACGACAGGCGCCTTATTCCGGCCCTGCAGCGGTCAGGTAAGTCCGAGTCCGGGACACAGCCGTCGAGGTTTCCGGCCGGCACAGAGTGCCGCCGGAGCCAGCTGCGGCCAGCGCCGCCATACTCACTTGACGTCGGTGGGGATCTGCTCCAGCGCGCCCACGTCGGAGGGCGAGCCGCCGTCGGCCAGCCGGGCGCCCAGCGGCGACGGCGCGCCGCTCAGCTGCAGCTGCGCCAGCTTCAGCTCGTCGTTGACCTCGCGCAGCTTGTCGCGCTCCTCCGTCAGCCGCTGCCGGGGGGCGGACGGCGGCGGCAGGTCAGGCGGGGGCGGCACAGACCGCACACGACCGAGGCCGACACAAGCAGCAGCACGCCACCGCCGGCACAGCGCGGCCACTCGTCCCGCCGTGGCAGAGCGGCCTGGCACGGCCGTCGCCACAGCGCACAGCATCGCACGCTGCCGGAGTCACACCATCTCCCAGTGAATGTCTCGCTCTCTTTCTCTTCTGAGCGATGGCGAGACCCAGCCGAATTCAAGCGGCTGGCGTACGCGACTTCCCGGCTCTACAGTCCTCACGGGTCAGTGCGGCCGCCGACCTCACTCACGCGCCTCTCATGCGCACGACCACCCACCACCGCTGCCCCTCCCCGTGCCGGAAGCTGGATCGTGAGGCGGCCGCCACCGGCCCCTCCTCTCTCACGATCTACGCCCGGCAGCGGCCGTCTCCTCAAAGCGCATCCGCGACATTAACTCGGCTTCGCTGCGGCCGGGTCGTAACGTGGCGATAAATGGCAGGGCGCAGCCGGCCGGCCGCCGCGGCGCGCGCGACCGAGGGATGGCGGCCGACGCAGGGCACCCGGCCGTGCGAGATCGCCGCGCGTCTCCGGCGGCCGCGCGCACTCATTCAAGCTCCGCGCGTCCTGGGGCGACGTCCGCTGCAGGATGAAAGGCTGGGAGCCTGATGGAGGGGCGATAGGGCGGCCACGCACCGGGCCGGAGCGCCCCGCGTGCACGCGGCGGCGGCGCGATCGGCGCGGTCGGCCCGCACGTGAATAGGGTCATCGTCACCCGCCGCCGCCGAGCCGGCCGCGTCGCATACCGAAGCAGCCGACAAAACACGGCAGGCGCCGGCCGACCCGACGGGCCGCGAGCGCGGGCAGGCGCGGCCCGGATGGCCCGGCTGGGAGCGCGCCCAAATGCTGACGCGCTGGCCGTGGCGATGGTTGGGAGTTCGGGGCACGACGGCCGGTGTCGGACTACCGACAACAGTATCGCGTCGGCACTAACAGTTCAAGCAGGCCGTCCGCTCCGAACAGTCGGCGCGCATATCGACAGGATAACCAGCCGGCTCTCCCTTGACCAGCCGGCGCACATCGCACCCGCCACAGAGCTCACGCCTTCGCCCCACCACAAGACGTGGCCCAGCGCTCCGGTGCCGGCCAGGGCGGCCCACCACCCCCGTCCCGGCCCTCTGCGTCCCCGCGAGGAGACCGACCTCCTTCTCGCTCTGCAGGGCGGCCATCTTCTCGGCCAGCTTGCGCAGGTCGAACTCGGCCTTGTCGCGCTTCTTGGTCTCCTCGGCCAGCTGGTCGTGCAGCTCGCCCACTTGTTTCTTGTAGAGGTCCAGCTGCGGTCGGTAGCTGCCCGACTTCTTCAGCTCCTGCGGAGCGCGCCAGGCACGGCGGGTCAGGCGGACCGGGCCGGGCGCGGCTGGTAACGCCAACGCCGGACAAGGCGCACGCCACATCACGCAGCTCTTTCTAGGAAACGCTCTCGCGCTGGTGATAATTGCATACGGTATACGGCGTTCTTAGACTGGATTACGGGGAGCTGACGTGGTGATTGCTCAGCGACGCGATTACCGAAGCTCAGTTGCAAGGAAGAGGCCCCAGCATCACGCAGTGGCACGCTCGAGATGACGGACCATAAGCGGCGCAGCGCACCGGTCCGAGTTCACCAAACAGACTCATTCGGAGGCTACGAACCTCCTCCAGCTCCATGTTCTGCTGCATGTAGTCGGTGTTCTTCTCCTCGAGCAGCTTGATCTGCCGACGCAGGTCGCCCATCTCCTGCAGCCGCTTCTGGTAGGTGTCCAGCTTGGCCTCGTACTGCGGCACCTTGGACGCCAGGTCGCGCAGGATCTCCAGCTCATCCTGCCGGCGGCACGCCCGTGGTTAGCAGGGAAGCCCAGAGTCGGAGCCAGCGGCCCAGACGCTCCGCTCGGCGCGCGGCATTACACTGTCACTATCATGCAATTTAGGTAGCCCGCAACCGCATCGGTGCAAAAAGTCGGGGACAGGAAAGCCCGACGGCAGATTGAAGGATGCGATTACATATCGACATACCGTGGGCGCAATCATGCCGGAGACAACGCGCCTGATTTTATCTGACACAAACATGACAAACGTACACGACGGCTAGATGCATCTCATCACGAAGCACAACGAGCAGCCACCAGCGGGCGACAGCGGAGACATCACCAGCTGCATTCACTCGCCCCAAAAGCGGGCGAGGAGGGGCGGCGTGAAGCCCCGCCCGCGGGACGGACGGCCCGCCCACTGACCCGGAGTCGGCGCGTCTCGTCCGCCATGCGCTGGAGCTCCTCGTTCTTGGTCTGCGTCTCCCGCAGGTCCTTCTCCACCACGTCGCACCTGCTGCGCAGCTCCTCCCGCGTGGCCTCCAGCTGCCGGGCGGGGACACGCGGCGTCACCCAAGTGACACCCGTCAGTCGCCCCACCGGTGTCACCCCAGTGACGTCACACATCGCGTCGACTGTCGGCAGCGGCCGCGCCACCCCCGGCGGGGTACGCCATCGCGGGGGGGGGGGGACAGCCTTTGGATCGGTTATTGGCGCGGGCAAGCGTTCTGGTGGTTGGCGTGGTGCCGCGTGAAATGTTCGCGGCGCTCTGGGTGGTGAAATGTTCTCGCAGCACGCTAGGTTTAAACACGGGTCTCCCGATGAGAAGTCCACAGTTCGAGCACCGAGGACGGACGGGGCGCATTGGAGACTTGATCGAGAAGCCTGACTGACGGACTGCAATCAGATGCCAACTCCGCCCGATAGGCACAGCACGCCCCGCCCGACCAAACCGGGCGAACGGGCTCCGGAGAGCGGACGAAATGCAGACGTGAGTCCCCGTACGTGACAGCCGGCAGCGCTGCTACGGCGCCCCATTTATCGGGATTTCCCTGTCAAGGCGACACAAAGCCTGCAAACGTTTGCGTCTAGGAGATCTCGCTGCTGCAGCCTGACAGCTCTGATTCCTCGACGAGGCAGTCCGGAGCCACGTGCCGGGTCAAGCGGGCCCTCGGCAGGACAGATGGCCCGCGAACGACCCGGACCGGCCGGTGACCAGCCCGGCCGCGCCCGGCCAGGTCAGGCTGGGGCGGAGTCGGCTCGCGGGCCGGGCCGGCGGAGCGGCCGGGACCAGTCCATCGGAATCAGTCCACCAGAGCCCGGCCACGCCCGGCCATGTCAGGCTGGGGCGGAGTCCGCTTCAGGACCGGGCCAGCGGAGCGGCCGGGACCAGTCCATCGGAATCAGTCCACCAGAGCCCGTCCACATGCGTCAAGTCGGGCGGCGTCAGGCAAGCAGGACTGAAGGAAGTGCTCCACATTTGTACGGGGTTTTGGACCGACACAGCCATTTTGAAGATTATTCGGTACAGTTCACAGCCCCTCTTAAAACCTCAACCCTTCTAATTTCTGAGTCATGCGCCCGCGGATATGTGCACACAATTTTGATGTGACTATTTCCAGGTCTCCCTTGCGCTCATGACGCCACAATGACGTCATTCAAATCCTGCCATTCCAATGGCCGCGCGGCGATCAAGGCCAAGAAAAATGTGTTTATTGGGTTGTTCACACCTGGCGTTCACGAACACGATTTCTAGATATAACGGCCGTCAGCTGGCTCTCAATCCGTGTTGTGCAAGCTACGATGGCGTAACCAAACAATGACGTATTGAGGCGCATATTTACTTAACAACGAAACCATGGAGTCTAGGGCAGCCTGTTCCACTCAAAACTCCACCAACAGTTACAAGTGAGCTTATTGCATCACGTCTGACGCTTGCTTCGATGTCTTCAAATGTGGAGCATCCCCTTTGAGGCGGGATCGGGTCTGGTTGAGTTAGCTTACGGTAGCAGTCAGTCCGTCAGTCCGGGCTCCTCGCATAAAACGAGCCCGGCGTGTCGGTGCCCTGCCCACAGACGGCACCACACCGCGCCGCCTCGGGCCGCCCGGGTCGTACCTTGTAGATCTCCTCATCGGCGGCGGCCAGCTTCTCGCGCAGCTGCTTGTAGCGCTGCCGCTGCTCGGGGCCCTCGCCGCCGGTCGATGCGTCCGGCAGCTCCTGCTGCAGCCGCAGCCGCTCCTGCAGCTTCTGGTTCTCGGCCCGCAGCATCGACTTCTCGTCCTGCAGCATCACGATCTGCCGGCGGCGGGCGACAGAGGTCAGGCTGAGGTCACCCGCGGGACACCAGTCACAAGGATCGGCGCTGTACGTATGCGCGCGTGCCGCCTTCCCCAGGCGCACACGCACAGCCGGCAGCGCCATTCCCTCGAGATATCCGAGCCGCCGTGCTGGCTGCGCTTTGCAGCGTCCACGTCTCGCCGCGGACCAGCGGCGCGGACGACTGGTTGACCACATCAGTCACATATCCATATCAGTCATATGCGTCGTAAAACCGTCAACGGAAGGGATTATGCTGGGGTTCCGCATTGTCCGCAGTACTGGCAACCGCTCCTCACGCAGCAGACGTGAACCCGCCCGGAAACAAACAACTGGTGGCGGTTCGCAACGCATGCTGATGATGCGGCGGCCGCGTGGCTTGACGGACTAAGTATTTTAGTCAATTTCGGAAGTCAACAAGTAGACGTAGAGGCCATACACTTGGAGGACTGCGGGTTAAACGCTGGTCATTACGCCGACAGTCGCAGATGCGATGCCGAAGTTACTAAATATGGGCGACTGATCTAGCATGCAAAAAAGCTAATATCTCGCTCTTAATGACGGTCAACACACCCGAAAACAAACAGCATCGAACTCGGCATATATCAGCACCTGCGCGTTCCAGCGCCAGACCACGGCCAGACCGGTCGGGGGACCTGCCGCCGTCCACGTGCGGACGTGGCGCACGCGAGGGTCACCGGCCGGCGCGGCGCCCGTGCCGCCGCGCCCGCCCGCTTTTTACTGACATCAAAGCACGGCGACCTGAGCCGGACCGCACGGCGCCGGCCGGCGGCCGTCGCGGAGGCGACCTCCCCTTTCAGAGCCGCCGCGCTCGGCGGCCGCGTGCCGTGATCGAATCGTCAGTCCAAACTGGGAGCGCGCACGCAGCGGAGACGCCAGATGCAGATACTGCGTAGTGCTGCGCGAGACAAGACATCAAGATCCGGCATGGACGCCGAGACAGCGCGGCCGGCCAGCTGTGGCGTTGCACAATGGGACGCCGCGTTTTTGGCTGACCACGTCACCACACGGTGACCTTCTACGGCGGCGGTCGAGCGCCGCGACACGGCTTCGGTCCACGGGCGGCCGGGTCGCGTTTCGCGATGCCTTCTAAGCGCGCGTCGCACGCGGCAAGAAAGGGGCGGCCGGGCTGGGGCCATCTTCTAGGGCCATCTCAGGCCGCGGCTAGCACGCATGCCGTGCAGACTCGGTTCTTCGAGCTCGTAATCCGCCGAAAGCGATGATGGAGGGGGGGGGGGGGGGGGGCGCAGGTGGGCACACCAGCTCGTGCAGGGAGGGGGGGGGGGCTGACTCATCTCTCTCGAGCTGGATCAGGTAAGCACGTCCGGGAGCTATCGCGGACTCCGGACGGGCCGGCGGGCCCGCGGCATGCCATACCGCGCAGCACTTGGCCGACTCGGGACGCGCAGCGGCCGCCACGCCCGCCTGCCGCGCCTGCGTTCCACCGGCCGATCTTGCCGGACGTCCCCGGGGGAAGCAGCGCTCCCACCCCGTGAGCGGGCCGCCCGCGCTGGTCCGACCCCTGGCCCGTCCGGCCACCTGGCCCGCCCGAGGCCCCCTCTTAAGCCGCCGCCGGTGGCTCCCGTTCGAGGAAGCTCTCAGGCGGACGGAGCGGAGCACGCAGCCACCCCGCCCCGTCCGGCTGCAGCCACGCCTCTGCGCCGGGCCGGCTCCGCCCCCAAGGCCCACGACAGGCCGCTGCTGGCTGAGGGACGGGGCCGAGGCCGCCCGTGGCCCGCTCTCACGCCAGCAGCGGCACACGCCGGGTCTCCGGCGCCGCCGCCCGGCCGCCAGCGTTTTACTGGCGGCCCGGTGTCAGCACGCCCCGACCGCCTTGCGCCACAGCGCCCAGTTACACCCCGCGAAGGACGGAGAACGACGCCAGGTCACGGCAGCACTGGTCCGCCCGGCAGCGTCTCACACCGACCGGTCCATCGGGGCTACGTGACGTCATGGTGCAAGGTGACCCGGTGACGTGATGTCAGAGCGCCGTCCTCCCCAAACAGGTCCCGAGCGGAAAAGGCTCGCCCACGCGACGGCGACGCCGGATGTCCGGCTGGCACGCCGTATCTGGTGTTTGTGGGCGTGTCGATTACGTGGCAATGCTACTCCCTTTTCATAACACTGTCATCTATGTGAATGGAGCCCGCTGGCAGTTCATGTTGTGACATGCTTAAGAGTGAGAGCCTCTTCATTACACGCACCACCGCAACATGCTTTACATTTCCAAGAACTACTAAGTTGTTTGGCTATAGCTGATGCTGAAGCTAACGTACACTGAAAAGGCGAGCACGCGTAAAACGCAACAAAGTGGTCTACTGGGTGTTAGCGGACTTGCTCTAGCTCCTGCCTGCGCCCTCGCTCCACCCGTGCCACCCGTCACCCTGGCCGGAGGTGCTCGCCGACCGTACCGCTCGCGATCCTCACAAGCCGGCGTCAGCGGGCACGCCGGGTCACCATTCTGACGTGTCGTCCAGCACAGCGTCCGGGCGCCGCCTGTCCCAGTGCTACAAAGCTTACCGCCTCGATGGGCGGGCGGCCGGCCGGCGGCGACGACGCGGCTGATCGGCAGCCAACACGGTAGAGGCACGGGTCGGCGCCGAACGGCCGCTGTTACACCGGTCATTTACATAGAGATGGCCCGGCCCGGCTGCCGCCGCAGGGCCGGGCCTGCAGCGAGACGAAGCTGGCCGGGCCGCTTCCCGGACGGCGGCAGCCGGGCGGAGCGCAGCGCCCTACGGCCGCTGCCGACTGCGGGGGCGGCGCGAGGTTGTAGCGGGCGTCCAGCGGCGCCGCCCCCTTCCTCCCTGCTCGTGACGGGCGGCCGAGCCCGGGCGCGCCGCCGCCGCCGGCTCAGCGGCGCGGTGCGGGGCCTCGTCCCGGATCCGCCGTCGTTCCGCCCACCAGGGCACGTCACAGTCTCGGGCCTCTCTCTGGACTTGCCAGCATCTCCGTCACCCCTACTCGGCCCACCCGGCGCAAATTGCCAGGGTCCGCCGTCAGCGTCCGGTCCCGACAACATCGGCCGACCGGCTGCCCGGCGGGCGTGGCGACCCGAGGCCCGATCGGTCGTGAGTTCGACACCCGCGCGGCGCGGCCCGCCCCTCGGCGCTCTCTCCGGCGCCGCTCGACCCCCGGCCGCCGCTGACCTGGTTGTCGAGCTCGTAGCAGCGCTGTTGGATCTTGTGGCGCTCGTCCTTGATGACCTCGAGCTCGGAGGCGAGCTCAGGCAGGCAGCCGACGTCGAGCGAGGGATCGAGCAGCGAGCTGCCCGAGCCGCCGCGCGACATCAGCTCTTGAATAGCGGCCATCAGCACCGCCTGCACGGTCGGCTCCAGCTCCTGGATCGACTCGATGTACTCTGTGGGGAGGGAGGCGGGTGAGTCATCACAATGTCGTCGCTTTCAACCGCGGCTCGACACCAAGAATCATCCGTTTCAACCGGAGATGTTTTTATGCTGATGCTAGCGGGCGTTCAAGCGCAGCTCACAAGAAGGGCACCATCGATTACATGTCGTTTGGTGGGCTAAGACCGAAATAGTAATGCAAGACGCATGGGAGAAGCCGCACGATGCGAAAGGACACAGATGTGGGGCGGCTGTTATGGTCAGAACCACGCATACGGGCAAAGGCTGGCAAAGATCGCCCACGCGGTAGCGTCTGATTACTGGGTCCCGAATATTGGGTCCAATCAAAGGACCGAGAAACTTCGCGAAGCACCCGCAGATAATCGATGGTGACAGGTAAGTCAGCCCGCCCTTTGGCCGCCAAAACAGAGCAGCTTTCCCATTCCGCGGCACAAAGCAAGACAGAGCGTCCTCATTCCCGCGAGAAGGAAGAAAAACCCCGCGTAGCTTACAACCGCGACCCGCGAAACTCGGCAAGCCCACAAGGCTACCAAAAAATTAGCATCGGTCCGGAAAACCACGCGCTAATGTCAGCCGGCGCCGGCGAGTGACGACAGTCCGCGGCGGCGGCGTGAGAGCTGACCCTCGGCCCGATCTGAGGGGCCTGGGCCGCCGTCCACGGAGAGCGGCCGGGGCGTGGGAAAGACGGGGCCGGCGCCCCCGCCGCGCTGTGTTCGGCCGTGACGTCGGCGCCGCACGCAACCGCACCACCTGCAGCCGCTCCCCGGCGCCGCCAGTTCCGTCGCCTTTTTTGCCGGCGCGCCCCGGCGGTGACGGCGGCCGGCCGACCGGGCGCGGCCGCTGCCCCCGCATTGCTGGCGAAACTGCACTCGCCGCTCCTCGCCGGCGGCCAGGGAGCTTTCGCCGGAGGAGCCGCTGCAGCCGGCCGGCCACCACGCGCGGTGAGCGGCTCCGGCCGCCGCAGGTGGACCAGCGCCCCGGACCCGCCTCTCTCACGCCGGCGGGGCCGGCCGGTGGGAGCGGGCCATCAGACGAGCCCCCCAGTGGGGAAGGGGGGCGAGAACGTCCGCTGTCGGTCCGCTGACCGGACCACGGACACCCCACACCACGGGGCGACGCTTCGAAGGTGGCTCGTTTACGGCAGACGATGGGACATGGGGCGCACATTGGTCAATTGATCATTAGCGCCCGTGGTGGAGGTGAGGTTCGATCCAAACCATCTGTGCGGACTGACTGTAATGTGACTGTGACTGAAACCTCCATTGGTGGGTGGACTGTGAGCGGATCGGTGCCGATTATCTGAGCGCGTCCCGATCCAAACGATCGGAGTCAGCTGACGTCCGTGACCGACGACGTCACGCCTCCTCCCCGACACGGCGCCAAGTACACCAACTCCACGGTTTGAACGTCTCGCTCGGCCCGCCGCCCGGCACGACCCCGCCACCAGCGCGAGCGGCCGCCCGACGGTGCGCTGACGCGGTCGTGCGGGCGCCCGGCCGTAATCCCGGCACAAGGCCGCCGGGCCGCCGGGTCGCTGGCGCTGGAGCTGATCGGGCCGCCGCCGCACCGGGGTCTGGCGGTCTCGGCGGCCCGGTCTTCAGCTGCCGCTCCCAGAGCGAGCGTGCGCTCGGCTCCGACGGATGGAGGTGAGTCAACAACCTGTCGGCTCCACACCTGGCCGCCCAGCTCGCCGGCCGCCGAGGCCAGACAGACACCAGACAGACACCAGATCACAGTCAACAAACAACGAGCTGAAGCTAATGCTGAGGTGGATGGACGCCGGAAAGGGGCACCGGAAGTTTTCCAAGGTAAAGGAGCCGGTAAGCACTGTTACTGATCTCGTTTCAGCCATAACCCACAGTGTCAAAGTTAGCTCTTCGGGCAGCTGGGGCGTATCTCCCCTCCTCGCCTCCCCGTTCCCGCGCCCTTGGCCCGGGTTCACGGGACGCGGCGGTCGCGGTGTTACAAAATGCAGCGTTGCCATCGCCTGCCCGAACCGCATGACGGTGGTCTGGGAGCCCGCCGCTGAACAGCGCTGGCGGTCAGTCGGACCCCGCGCGCTGCGCGCACAACCGGCACTGCCCTTGGTGTCCAGTGCCCCGGCGTCGGCCTCGGCGGGTGTGCCGAGCCCATGCTCGGTTCAGACGCGCCGCCGCCGTCGCACAATCGGCCCCGGCGTCAAACGGGCGTGCAGCGGCCGCCAACACCACCGCCACGGGCAAAACAGCGTCGCGAGCGGGTGCCACTCAGAGCGGCGTCGGCAGCCATGCCAGCACCGCGCCGGCCCGACCTCGGGCACGGCGTCGGCACGTGGGCACGCGGAGCCGGTCGACGGCGGCGGCCGGTGGCCGGCCGGCAAGGCTCGCGGGTGAAAACCCGCGCCCGGCGGCAAAAACCGGCCCCCGCCGCGTGCGATCGCACCTCACGCCGGGCCGGTGACGGCTTCGACGGCAGCGGCGGCGGGGGTCGGCCGGCGCACGCGGCCCCCGGACGTCGTTACGAAGTGACGCGCCGCGGCGGGGCCTTCACGCCGCGGCGGGGCCTTCACGCCGCGGCGGGGTCTTCACGCCGCGCGGCCGATACACTCGGCGACGGCGGAGACAGCGCAAATCGCTGGAAACCGGTACGAGCCGTGAAAAATGGCCGGTAAACGGGCGGCGCCGAGCGGCGGGTGAAACGCCGCTAATGGCATACAATTGGCGGGCAGGGTCGAGAGCCGGGTCAGGGGGCAGGCGCGACTGTGCCTGACCCGGGCGGCTGGTCAGCGGGAGAAGGCGATCTCGGGCGCGGATCATGCCGCCGGAGCTGTCGGTGGGTCTGAGCGGGCCTCGCTGAGCACAGCAGCAGCGTCCGGCCGGGCTCATGGCCATGACCCGCCGAGCCCCCCGCTGCCACTCACTCAGCGTCTGCCACCCAAGTGCTGTTGTTGCAACCGACGGGACGGCCCAAGAGGGGGGTGATTACCCTCGTGTTTAGGACGTGTTTACCGTCCGACGGCAGAACAGCCGTCTCGTCGTTTGGTTGATGACGTCACTTGCTTGGGAGGCGAATTCTCGTCATAAGCACGCAGGCGTCTAATGCATCGCTACAGATAAAGGACACGGATGCCGCACACGTCAGCGCCTCGACAGCAGGAACGCGTGATAACACACGGACGCAATCGCCGAGTGACCTCAGCCATCAGACCCAGCGAACCCAGCCCACCTGCCGGCGCCGCCACAGCACGCCTGCAGCACCCGATCGCGCGCCGCCCCGCCCCCCTGCGAGAGCAGCCGAGTGCCGGGTGGCCGCCGTGGGACGGCAGTCCATTACGGCCGGCCGATAAAGCAGGGGCGGCTGGACGGGCGGGGCCGGGCGCTGCCGCCGGCCGCTCCCATGGCGCCGGCGCCGCCAGCCTTGGTCGCGCGAGCCTTGGTCCGTGTGAGGTGCCGCGCCCGTTCCCGGCGCCGGCGGGTCTGTCCCTGCGCCGGCAGCCGCTGCTGCATGTCGCGTGGGAGTGTTCCGTGTTGACCGAGGACGACGTGTGGAGGAGAGGGGACGAGGGAGGACAGGCCAGCGAGAGAGGAGAGGCGGGATGTAGGGGAATAGGGACAGAAGAGGGCACGGCAGGGAGGGAGAGGCACAGTGTAAGAAGAGGTGAAAGAGAGGTGAATTCCATGGAAACAGCGAAGGTGGTAAGAGGGGAGAGCGGAGGGGAGAAAAAATGGAAAGACGGCCGGGGTGGGAATACGACTAGAGTAATGAAATAAATATCACATGCAGATGGACAACAATAAAGAGGACGGCTCGGACATAAAATGGAGAAGAGACATAGTGCGGGCGAGACAGATGCAGAGATCGATGGATTACTGTACCAAAAACGCTCGTTCGTTCGTTCGACAGGCGGCGGGACCGTGGTACAGGCGGTCAGACAGGTGGCGGGACCGAAGTACAGGCGGCCCAGACAGGCGACGGGACCGAGGTACAGGCGGGCAAGACAGGCGGCGGGACCGAGGTACAGGCGGCCAGACAGGCGGCGGGACCGGGGTACAGGCCGGCCAGACAGGCGGCGGGACCGGGGTACAGGCGGCCAGACAGGCGGCAGACCGAGGTACGGGGCGGCCAGACGGCGGCGGGACTGAGGTACGCGCGGCCAGACAGGCGGCGGACCGGGACGGGCGGCCAGACAGGCGGCAGGACCGAGGTACGGGCGCCAGACAGGCGGCGGGACTGAGGTACGCGCGGCCAGACAGGCGGCGGGACCGGGGCACGGGCGGCCAGACGGGCGGCGTGAACCGAGGTACAGGCGGCCAGGCAGGCCATCAGTACCTGCCTTCGCAGCACGACCGTCCCGTCACGGCCAGCGTCGGCCGCACGCCGCCGACCGCAGTGAAAACGGTGCCGGTCGGCGCACGTGCGCGACGGTCGCCCTCGGCGCGGCCGGCGGGCGGCGAGCTGACCCGGCCGCCGGTGACCTGAGGCCGCTGATGACGGCGGTGACCTGAGGCCGCTGATGACGCCGGGTGACCTGAGGCCGCTGATGACGCCGGTGACCTGAGGCCGCTGATGACGCCGGTGACCTGAGGCCGCTGATGACGCCGGTGACCTGAGGCCGCTGATGACGGCGGTGACCTGAGGCCGCTGATGACGGCGGTGACCTGAGGCCGCTGATGACGGCGGTGACCTGAGGCGCTGATGACGGCGGTGACCTGAGGCCGCTCGCAGGCTCAGGTCACCGTCCGTCCGACGGCGACGAGTCGGCGCGGCAGAGCCAGCAGACGACGTGGCGCCCGCCCACGCCGTGCCGCCGCACCACCGCCGCTGAGCCGTACGCTTCGCCATACTGCATCCGCCATTAAACCATATTAATGGGAATTAATTCCATTACAGCGTCGCTTTACTAATGGCGTGCCGGATTTCACAAGAGGTGGCATCGTTCCCCCATTGAGTCACCTCAGAGATAACATCGATTTCGTGATTCTGTGCCTAATTGTGCCGCTGTAGTAACATGCCC